ACTTGGCGTCCAGGGCTCGAGAGTGAGGCAGAGCCAGGGGGACTTGGCCCAGTCAGAGCCAAAGGGTCAAGGCTGATGTGAAAAAACGCGGGGATTTACAGCTGGAAATAGCCCAGCCCTGGCTGTGTGACTGCAGCTGGGGAAGGGACCGCTGCAGCCCGGGCTCTCCCAGTCACTCTAGAGCAATTGGCACTGTCCCTCGTAGCGGTCTGGGATCGCCGACTTGGCAGCACCTCTGGCGCGTTTCTCCAGAAACATCCCCAGCAGGCACTGGGGTGGTTGATGTCCCTCATGAAGACTGGGACTGGCGAAGGTGAGGTCGCTTGGAGCTGTCTGTGCGACAGCCTGATCCGCCAGTTCCTCCTGCTCAGGTGGCCTGTGGCAGACACCCACTGCAGTGTCACTCTGCTCACTGGAAGAAGAGCCGCTTCAGAAGGTGAGAAACTTGCATGATACACATCTAGATGAAGTTGAGGTGAGTCTCACCTCTAATGACTTCTCCATCTATTCTGTGCTGGCTTGCTGGTACTTTTAAAAACACATAATGCAATGTATTTATTGCCTCTGGCACAACCTACAAAAAAAAGCATCTGTAGTACTCTGGATCATTAAAGATGTGGTACACTGAACTGGTCAGCATTAAAAACAACCTTGAGAATTTATTACTTGAATCAAATGTTTCATGTGCTATATTAAAGCCCTGTACATCTATTGAGGCATTTAGTATAAGGATAGTCAATATGGAAATACTGATCAGGAATGAGGGAAAATAGGAATCATAAATCATAAAAGGGCTGAGAAACCCCAGCTTTGTACCACAGAAATACAAGACATCAGGTTCACCGACCAGACTGGAATTGAAACAGAACAAACTGGCATTCATAATGAAGTGACTTGATTTCATGGTTTCTGAAAAGTCATTGAGTTAAGTCTAACTGGGATTTTTTAGTGATTTTGGTACTGTATGCATCACAGGTCAGTATCACTTATGAGTAGTGTCTTAACCTTGAACTGTGTGGGATTTGAATCAGGTTTTGACTTTGAGGAAGGACTGTTTAAAATTCAATTAAAAACTTTCCTTTGGAGTCTTATCCTCAGGTGAGAGACTGGGGCAAGGCAGATTCCATTTAACCCAGTACAGTCTAACTCCTGAGCTCGGCGCTGCACCTGGCCTTGTGTTACTTCAGCATCTTCCAGTGATATGTGTGGTAACATGGCAAATATTTATCACAGCAGATCTTTTTATATTACTCTTCCGTAGATAAACCGGTATCTTTTCTCAGTGCTTTCTGAGTAGCGTAAGGATGTCACACTTGGTTTTCCAAAAGGAATTTTAGGCACTTCCTTTATATTGGCCTTTCTGGGAGAGGTCTGCCTCAAAAAATCAGAGCAGATGAAGAGAAAACAATGGCACAAGCATCAAATTGCCAGTGAATTTAAGGCTTTGAGTCTTATTTAGGCAATATTCTAATTCTGTACATTACTTGCATTGTACTGTCTTATTAACAATCTCATTGATTCAAATAATAAGAATCACAGAAGGGCAGCAAATGAGATTCTATTACACAGGATCTGAAAGAGTACAATGACAGTTCTCGTGGCATACTCTACCCCAGAGACATCTGAGTTATAAAAAATTCACTAATACATTTGGCAAATTAGGTTCTTCTCTGACTTCGAGAAATTACTAACCAGTGTCATTGTCATTGGAGCTGATCTGTAAGTTTCTCAGAATTTGAGGGGGGCTTAAAACATCTATGTAATTAAATACTGGAAAAAAATATTTATTTATACAAAGTCTGTCCTGAATTTGATGCAATACATGATAATATTTCAATCAATGATTTCAGAATAACAGGCATATGCACCTGTATGTGAATCTATAGGGAATTCCATGGCTCATGCTGTTTGCTAAGAGAAAACGGGGCAGTGAGATGTTTTCCTTTGATAGCCTCAGCTGAAAATTCCCAGCAATGGGAGCACAGAACATCCAGCCCATGCTCTTGACAACAGGGTCAGCTGGAGCAGCAACCCTCCATTGCCATGGGCAGCCCCTGCCTCCCTGCCTGTGGTCCTCCCAGCCTCATGCCAAGGCTACCAGTGCCAAATCTCACAAGCATCCAGGAGACACCCACTGCAGGCTGGCTATGTCACCATCCCCACAGTGACACGGGCCATTGCCAGTCTGCTGCCCACCATCCCGTTCCCACTACATCACTGGGCTTGGTGCCAGAAGCTGGTATCATTTTCAATTCCTTATCTTTATATCAGTGTCCTTGTAGAAAGTAGTAAATCTCTCTGGTTGAGTGGGGGAGGAAAGGAGTGGACCATGGTCTGGTCATGTCCTTGGGTGAGCCTCCAGTTCTGGAGGACAAAGGAGGAACAGCCACCATCTGTTGCACCAAAGGCACCCCCTGCCTTCGCCCTGCTCATGGAAGTGCAGGAGCCCTCCCTTCCCTGCCCTCCTCCCTGCCCTCTCCTCTCAGCCCTCCCTCACCTGCCAGCCTCCAGTCATAAGTGTTCTTCTCGATAGTGTCCCAAGCTTCTGGTGTTTCCCCTTAGTGTTCCAACAACATATTATCTTTAACTTTCCAGTTTCCTGACCCAAGTGTATTACAAATGAAGATAGCAGTTCATCTCCTTATATGAAAACATTTAATCTATAGCCTGATCAAATCTTCACATTCTATTTTATTGGATTCTGGTGACCTTCATGGTGTGCCTTACCATTTCTTATCCTCCTTTATTCCCCTTATATTATCCCTTTTTAACCAAAACAAAGAGTAAATTTTGAGAAGAAGGGGAAGAGAAACTTGTCACTTATAGGAGAGGCAGAAGGAAACGTATTTCTTTCACTTTTACATAATATTCTAAATACTCTTTCTGGTAATTGTCATTCAACATTTATACTTGGGAGTGGCATCTGCCTCTCTCCTGAGATTATCACCATAGTGATCAATGCCAGATAATAAGAATTTCAGTTCTACAAAACCCTGCTATGAGAAAGTCAGGATGTTCAAAAGAAAACTAACCTGTGCAAGAATAAGGCAGACATTTTTAGTGAGTTGGTATGAATAAGAAGAAACGTTTTCTGATGTGGTTCCATCAGAGCATTTCATGCCACGTTAAACACTGAAATGTGTTTCATGAAAAACACAGAAGGTTTGTGTCTTCATTGTTCCAGACACATTAACAAGCAACAAGCAACCTTGTCAGGACTTTTTCTTGGTTGGGATTGTTGTCTTCCATAGCTGCCCTTGCATGATAGCTGATTCCAGATACTTTGGCTCACACATAAATCAATCACATTATTTTGACAAGCATTATTAATGATACCACATAATGTGCTTGTCACAGCAATGGCAGAACTGCTCTAAACTGGCATATTCCAAATGTTTATCCCCATCCTGCTACAGCAGTGTGTACATTAATGAGATCCGGTCTCTATCTGAAATAATGATCTGAAAAACATTTAAAAAATCATCATATAGACCTTAAAGTTGAACAACTTGTATTGTGAGTGGACCAAACATTCAGCTGCCATCACCAGTAGGCATAAATCTTCAGACAGAGAATTAAATTATTCCCCAAAGATACCCGTCTCCTTCACATTCTGTTTGCAGATAACCTGTCACCCAAATTGTTCTGTTCCCATTCATCTTCCCTGCACTTGTAAGGATTGTAATACCACTTTGCAGCTTCCACGGCATAACATCTTCTACAGCAGGATCTCAGCACTGAGATTTACAGTTGTTAGGCAATTCAGCATTGCAAAAGTGAAATTCTTGCAAAGTGAAGAATCCTCAATGGACTTCATTTTGCAAAGGTGGAAACCAAGGAGCAAACAGGTTAAAAATAGCCTTTCTACCAAAAAGGTGCCTTTGACATCAAGAACAATCAAAGCCTAGCAAATTAAATTAATTTCTAACAGTCTCAGACTATGCTAGCAAAGGAACCAAGAAGAGAAACGGCACTTCTTCGTAATACCTGCAGATCTATTTATTGGCAATTCCAAGCACAAACACAGGCTAGGTGGACAATGGATTGAGAGCCCTGAGGAGAAGGACTTGGGGGTGTTGGTTGATGAGAAGTTCAATGTAACCGAGCAGTGTGCACTTGCAGCCCAGAAAGCCAATTGTATTCTGGGCTGCATCAAAAGCAGCATGGCCAGCAGGTTGAGGGAGGGGATTCTGCCCCTCTACTCTGCCCTTATGAGACCCCACTTGGAGTGCTGCATCCAGCTCTGGGGTGCCCTGCATTGACCTGTTAAAGCAAGTCCAGAGGATGAAGATGAACAGAGGGCTGGAAAACAGGCTGAGAGTTGGGGTTGTTCAGCCTGAAGAAGAGAAGGCTCCAGGGAGATCTTAGAGTAGCCTTCTTGTACATAAAGGGGCCTACTAGAAAGCTGGAGTGGGACTTCTTACAAGGGCCTGTACTGATGGGACAAGGGGGAATGGCTCTAAACTGAAAGAGAGTAGGTTTAGATTAGATACTAGGAAGACATTCTTCACTGTGAGCGTGATGAAACACTGGAACAGGTTGCCCAGAGAAGCTGTGGATGCCCCATTCCTGGAAGTGTTCAAGGCCAGGTTGGATGGGGCTTGAAGCAACCTGGTCTAGTGAAAGGTGTCCCCTCTACACATGGGGGTTAGAACTAGATGATCTTTAAGTGCTCTTTCAGCCAAAAGCATTCCATGATTCTATGAACTATATATCTTTTCTTTGTACAACTTTTAATTTCCATGTTACTCTAGAATAGGTTTCTTTTAAAAGTAATGAGTTATGTAATCTGTAGTGAAGAATGTTCAAAGTAAAACATGAAATACATGATTAAGAATACTTTGATATTGTGGGATTAGGTTTGTTTAGAAATAAATAAATAAATGACTACCCAAGTAATCATTTACATTTGGCTACTGTACATTTTTCATACATGTAAAGAGAAAGGCAACTTTATATGTAACTAAATCCAGCAAATCCTGAGGAAGATCTCAAGTCTGAGAGGTCAACTGAAGATTGTTTAATATTGGGACCAATACATTTTTCATGATAATACAAGCTAAAATAGCTCACAAGTCAGTTCCTCAAGAGGATTAGCATTTTCCTAGGTTTAATACTGCTACTCTTCTAATATAAAAGAATAAATTAATATAATAGCAGTCCTATTGTATTTGCTAAAATTTATTCAGGAATTTTAAATGATTGATCTACTGACTTAAGAATATAAACACAAAATTGGGGCTTAAATGTTGCTGGAAGCACATGCCCACAGTATGGCTTCTGGAGATGGAGTCTGTTTTGTACAATCAAACCCAAGGAAATGTTTCTGTTTGAATTTCTGGGATGAAGGTAGAATTATTTAGCTCATTCAGTGCTTCCACTCCTGTGGTTTCTGAGACTTATCACAAGACTAAGGGCATCCTACATGGCAGCAGGCAATGTAACTCATTGCACCTGAGCTAAATGCTAACCAATCTTCAGGACAGGGGCAGTATGATCACATCAACATAGCACAATAATCCCATATAACACAGGTAATTATTTTAAACACAACACCCCACTGGCCTGGCCATGCTTCCTTCGAGACCTGAGCTGTCTGAATCTTGCAGGTGTGTTCACCTACCAACAGCTTGAGGCCCTCCAACAACACACTGACACAGCACTTTGGACATTCCTGCAGCTTCTTTCTCTACAGATTCCAGTGTATTAGTCCCCATCAAGTATCACTCTTCAGCCTTGGGTCCAGCTGGGATGTCACATCTTGTGTTCCCTCACACAGAACGCCTCACACCAAAGAAGAAGGAAGTTGCACTGAAACTGCTTACAAAGAATGCTTCCTGGCCCAGGCTCACCTTTGGATGATGCAAGGCAATTGTCTGGGAGATCATTTGTCATGGTCCAAAACTGTACTCCTGTGCACCCCTGTGCTACTGGCCTTACAGTACAGACAGTTACACATCAGCTCCTCTGCTCTGGGCTTGCCCTGGCAACACTGCGATTCCAGTAGAGATGTAGCCACAGTTAACATGGTTTTGAAGTAGATGAACCTGGGCTACATCACTTTGACTGTCAGTGGGACTGATTATTCTGGTGTTGGAGCTGGATCACATGGCTTTCTGTCAGTTCAGAACGAGCTCAACTGCACTTACAAAATAACATGCAAATACATTATAACCCAGAGCATTATATAATCAGATCCTCATGCTGTAGGAAACAACATGTTCCAGAAGTTCCTGGGAGTTTATGCATAGGAAACAACATGTTCCAGAAGTGCCTGTGAGTTTGTGCAGGACTGGAACAAAAGTGCAATTCCTTGTAATTCACAGGATTTTACATAATGTACAGTTACTTAGGACAAACTGAACCAAGAAACTGCTGCTGGTCAAAATCTCTCTGATGTCCACAGGAGTGTTTCTACACTCACTAACTTGTGAACCATATCCCAAGTTATTAGTAATTCCTACCACTTCATCATGGACATGTCTGTGTGATTGCAGTGTTTGATTAGATGCTCTACACAAATGTTTTTGTGTTAGAACGCCATGACAGCATCTTGTCTGTCTTCTCTTTTGCACTGTTTCACAGGTTCATTTATGCTCCTTGCCATGGTCCCAAGTATTTCCTCTCACTGTGAGTAAGTCAGATATCTCATACCACTGCTGTCTGTAGCTGAAAATGCTCCCTCCTGCCTGGCACATTGCATCCTGGGGGTCCAGCTCTTCCAAGACTAAGCCTGACAGAAAAGAACTACTATGACATCCAGGAATATGTCATTCCATGACCAGAGCAATAGATACAGCAGGACTGAGGAGCAGGCAAGAAGACGACTTGGAGAAGTAAGACAGGTGCCATCCACATCCTTCTTGTGTTGTTTTCCATCCCTTAGAAGGGTCAGACCCCATAGCTTTCTGTGTCTCTCTCCTTTGATGAGCTCCTCGGGATGTTCATAAGCCACTCTGCATATGTTCTGCTCATCCCTCCAGGAGGAAGCTGGTGCAGTCCCAGGCCAAGCGCTGCACCAGTACCATGGGAAGCAGGTACATATGAAGTAGCTCATTAGCTGTACCATAAACCCCACAGGACAACATTCCTGACCACTTGTAGAGACACACTATGAGGCTGGGCAGATATTTTTAAAACATGGAAGGAACCTTTTGTGAAGATATGAAGAGACCTCTCCAGTGTCACTAGCTGGGAAACAGTCTGAGCACCAACACCAAGCACTGGAAACAACAGTGTTGGAAATTTTAGAAGACTGAATCCTTGCATTTCAAAGTACAATAACCAAACTCTAACTATTAAACTCATGCTAATGTTCTAAAAACAAGCCACCTCAGTGGACTAGTTTTTCAAATATTTATTAGGAAATTCTGAACACACAACTAGTATTTTTATCACCCCAAAGTGATATAAATAAGGAATTTACTGTGTCTCAGTAACTTCAGGTCAGACTTGCTCAGTTCATAATCAAAATGATGATTTCTGTAACTAACATTTTTGCCCATACTCAGCCTGGGCTGTAGAAAGCTACCACTGTGTAGTCAGTGCCACAGTCTCCAATATTAAGGTTCAAAAGCTGCAATCTACTTAGGAATTCTGAACAAACTAGACTGAAATGCTGCCAACTCTGACCAATAAGGAGGTTGCCAAGAGACTGCAAAATGGTCCTAGTTCAGCTAAGCATAGACTAAAATTAAGATGCTTTCCTTGGTATCAGTGTTAAGTGCTTTGTTGAATTGGGGCCTTAAGGAAGACCAAGGTCACATTCAACATTTTCAGAAAGTCAGTTCACAGGCCTTAAATAAATTCTGGCTTTGGATGAAGGATATGGCATTTTCAACCTTGTAAGCACTGCTTTGAGGTATTTCACACTGAAAGGTGAAATTTTACAGGCTTCTGTGTTTCATATGATCATCATATCTATCTCTGAAAGGAAAAGCTTCCTGCATTTGATATAGTTTGCAATGAGTTTTAGTACCTGTATAGATTTTATGCATGAGTAAAATAACCATTATTTTTTTAAAATCAATTATAAAAGATACCACAATTTCAAATACAGGTTTTTAATATAAGGTACCATATATCCAAAATATTTCCCAAATAATTTATCAAAATCTACTACAAAATCATAATGAATGAAAGTTTTTCAGCTAAAACTTTTACAGGGATTAAAAAAAATGTTGAGTGGCCCATATGCTATTCTGGAAGCAGATCATCTCCTAGTTCTTCATCAGCAAAGTCATCTTCCTCAGTTCTTTTTCTTGCTGCTGTTCTTGGTCTTTCTGCTTGTGGGCCAAGTGGATCTATGTAGGAGGCATCTGGGATTTAAATAAATACATTTGAAATGGTTACCTGCAAGTAATTTTAGCTTTGTTTCAAACATACAAAATCAAACACAAGATTGGGTTTTAGCACTACACATCTGTAAGGTGTCTTTGAAATGCAGACCAGAAAGAGCATATGAACACAAAAGGAGAACAAAATGTTGCATTTAGGAACTGATGAAGGGCACTAGAGTGAAGTTCCTGAGTGCTAGTGATAGAAGCCTTTTTTCCCCCCTTCTTTTTTTTTTTTTTAAATAAATTTCTCTTTATTATATAACAGTGAGAAAAAGGCTTTGGAAAAGTGCAAGGAACAGCAAGCCTGATTACTTGTTTAAAGAACGGCTTTTTAGGAAGTACCACATTCCACATGGAGTTGAGTTTTTAAACCCCTTTGAAAACTCAATCTTATTGAAGATTTCATGACTGCAGACCCACAGAAACTGATTTAAAAGATGCAGAAGACAGATATTGAAAGTAATATGAAAATAAATGAGCAACATTTCCTAATATTTACAACTACTTTATAGTGAGCTCTGAACAATGAAGCTAAAATCTCATTTTAATGAGGAAAGTGTTTCCCTAAATATCTAATTTTACATGCTCTTCCAATAATTTATGTTTTCTTCTCTCCTTATTTTTCCAGTCTGTGAGGGCCAGGAAAGTAAGAAGGCCTAAGATGTCCACTTGCCTATTTCTTTACTGCTTCTACTTTCATAGGGTTCATTTGTTCCAGGCAAAGCTTTTAGTTTGGCACTCAGTCTTTCCCCTTTGGTACCACCACTGTCTGGGGAACAGAAAAAAAAAAAGAAGACAAATAACATGCTGTTATATTCTGTGAAATCATGATACAAGAACAACATCAATTTAGCTACTACTATCTGTCAAACAAAGTTTGGATGAAACCATCTTTTCATGATGGATACAGTACTCAGTTGTAATAGTGGTCTTTAAAACACAATGGACACTGTGTCCATACACGTGTGTGTTAATGTTTTTTAAAAAATCTATACAGCCTTATTTACTTTGGAGTAAACACCTGAAAATATTTCTGCTTCAAATGCTGACAGTTCAGCTGCTTATAAATTACAGTCACATTTTGGAGTTAAAATAAGCACAGTGAATATAAACACCGTTACAGGGTATACGGGACGTTTCCTATGTCTGTGTGCTTACCAATATATCAGTGTGATCCACCTGCTCCGTACTGTCAAGGTTAAACACAACACTGACTTTGCTTCTAATGAGAAGGGTATATTTGACACGTGCTGTCTGCATGGCAGGCAGGCACAGTTCATGTATACAGACCATCCTAGCCCTGCATCTTGCTGTAAACACTGTGCTGGCAGCTCAGTTTGCAGCGGGGCCCCAAGGAATGTGTCGGCTCCAAGGGCTGCCTCCTGCCCAGACAACATCAGATTAACATTCTCTTGCCACAGTAGTGTTCCAGACACTTTAAATATTCTGTTCACCTCTCAATCTCTTTTTCACATTCATGGCAAGCTTTCAATCTCATCTGCTACAACAAAGTTTTTATGACATATATTTTGTCCTAGGAGAAAACATTTCAAGTTTGACTTGGTATACTTAAAAAGCAGGGCATGCCATACAGCCAAATACAAACATGCTCATTTACTACACCAAAGAACACCGTTATTAAAAGTCTTCCATCTGTAAGGAGCAAAAATGGGTTTCATTCAGTAAACATTAATTACAAAGTCTGGACTTGGCAACACATTTCCATTGCCTTATTTACTCTAAATGTTATTTTAATAAATATTGTTACAATTAAAAAGAAAAAACCCAAACAAACCCCCAAACTTCTACAAAGATGACAAACCTCAATTTCTCTATAAATACTATTGCAGACTTTCGTTTGCTCAGCCCTAAATTGGAAGAACAATGTCTCTGCTCCAAGCAAGATCTAATACACACAGTCACATGTCAAACACTGAATAAGTTCACAAAATACAGATTACAGGTGAAATTTCAAAACAAAGAAAATGTATTTTAATGTACATCTACATCCCTCAGACCAATTCTCACTGAAAGGCTTCATGAAAGAAGTGAATACTTAACGAAGGATTTGAAGAAATAGAGAGAAATCAATGGGTTGGACTGAGGGGGGCTCAACCAAAGGGCTGAGAAACTACAAAAAGGGACGTCCCTTGAGTTCAGCAGGCTCTGGACAGACCTGTGCAACAAAGATGGTGTGGATAAAAATGTTTTGAGGACAGTTTAGAGGAAAATACAAAATGATAACAAGGAGAAAAAGAGTAGGATAGATGTAGGCACAGAGTCTTGCGCAGTGGAAAAGAAATAATTTACAAGATAATGAATAAAATTGGAAGAAGCAGTAAAGAGTTGCAAAGACAGGAACAACGCAGCAGAAACTAAACTAGGGGAAGAATGAGCTAGTCAAAGAAACTCCACAGGTTTAATTGGTTGGTTCCAGAACAGAAGAACTGGGTATAATGAAAATAAAAGAGGAAGAAGATGGCATATCAAAGGTTTTTGACTGTGAAGGAGGAAAACACGTGGGGTTTAGCGATACTACCAGAGGAAGGTGAAAGACTTTGTATTAACTAAAAGATGGAAAAGAAGGATGGTAAACAAACCAAACTGGCTGGGATAAACATAATATCCACAAGTTACCTGCACATCTCATTGCCCTAAAAATATACAATTGAAAACAGAGGCTTTCTTGGACACCCTAAGACCCTTACGTTTTATTAGGGTTACATCCAAGAAAGGAATGAGGCAGTAAGTCCAAAATTTGAAGTCAATTTCCCTCTCTTTTTCTCTCCCCATCTACTGGATGTCCAACCCTGCTCCCCCTTCCATAGCTCTGAAGTTCCTTAAGTACATATTGCTATGAATGAGTTGCCCAAAATGGCCATGCCTGCAGGTTGTTCAGCCTGTGACCCTGGAGCCTAAGCTCCCCGTTCTGTTTATGAGCCAATACAGTACATGGAATTGTGGAGTGCTGTAATAGTCAGTAAATGTAGCTCTTCACACAACTAGAGCTTTTCAGGCTTCAGACTTGATTCAGTTGCCCAAACACATTATTTACTGTTTTTAATGGACTGGATCAACTCACCAAAGGGTGAGATTAATGCTAGAAGTAGTGCAAGGAAAGCAGCAAGAACACAGGAAAAGGAATGGGAAAGAAAAGAAGTGCTGAGAGGGGGTGGGCTGTTGTTTCCAGAAACTGTACTCTATTCGATCAATACATCCCACCTTGACTAAACACACCCTGGAAAAAACTATGAGTAGGTGTCTATGGGCACAGTGTCCTCTTAACACTTAAGCAGCAAGAACATATGGATGCCTTACTAGATTAAAGGTCTATCTAAACTGGCTTATTGTCCATACAAAAGATCACAAGATGCTGAGGGAAGAGCACTGTAAGTAAAGCAAGCATATACAGTAGCTCTCCTAGCTTCCAACAGTTTGTAAATCAAATGTCCGTTCGGGGAAACGGGGCAGCTCTTTGTGTTTAATAATGGGATCGATGGACTTACTCTCCAAGAACTTGTCCGTTCTTCTCTTGTGACCCTGTGAAATTTTTGCATGTGTAAGAACCTGAGGTAAGGAGTTCCACCTTTCGTTTCCTCTGAACCTACAACTCTAGCCCCACCTCACCACAGAAAGGAGCACCCTGCCCTTCCTGCCCTGCATCGTATCCCCTTCCATATGCTGTCCAGTGGCAGCAGGCTGTGGTGGAGCATCTTCCTGATACATTTAGAAGTAACCTAATGAAAACTTTTTTCGGGTGGATCAGCAAAGCAATGCAGCTCACCTTACCTCTAGATGAGCATTATATCTTCAGCAAGAGTGAAGGCAAGGTTAACACCTCTTCTGGTAGCAGCCCACAGTTAGTTTAAATCAGGCTAACAGGCAAAACCCCATCAAGTCTCCATGGACTGCAATATGCTCTGACAATATCTAAAGACATGGAAGAGAAGCATCTTTCCTTTGAAAGTACATACTGAAGAAAGTAAGAGGTGCTTGACAACATCTGTGTTACATGGAGATGTCAGACAGCAGCTCAGGAACAGAGAGGTCTGGCTTCAATGCCTTCCTTCACCTGAGGGAGTTCAAACCCAGAGTTCCAGCTTTCAGGAGGAATGTCCTAGTTTTTGAGCCAATTGGGGTAAGCTTTTCTTGACACTCTGCCATGAGATACAGGATTTGCCTGCCAATACAGCAGCTATTAAAAATTCTGTTGACCATTTAACATGATCTGCCAGAAGTTTAAATCTCATTTCAAAGTTACTTTTTCTAGTTCTGTTTGCAGATAAATCATCTACATGTTTTTATCCAGTATACATTCACACATAATTTGGCAATGTTAAGGAACACAAGCTTGCAATGCAGACTTCAGGATTTTGTTATCCTACAGTGAAGAGAACTTCAGGGAAGGAATTGTTTTTAAAGCATTTTATCACAGACGCGGATACTTTTGGGAGGTGAGTTTTACAGATTCTACTCACCATTCCCTGCTGCCCTCACCCTATCCAGGAAAAAGATTTTATACACGTTTTGGATTAGGGAATGAAACTAACTTTCATCAAAGTAATACACAGAAGAAAATAAAACTAACATTGGGTCAAAGTATAATAATAAAAACTGTGGATAAAAAGCTTTATTTGTAGTTTTTCTCTGCTAATAACACAGCTTTGAGTGTTAATGTCTTTCTGATTGCACTTGCAATCAAAGGAGTACAAGCAGACATTTCTCAAACTGCAAATTAATTCTATCTGCATTACTGTATTAACTATACAAACACATGCTCCTAATTAAAGACAGCTTTTGAATAATGGATGACCACTGCTGAACTAAATTGTTCTCTGTATCAAAGAAGCCTTCACTGCAACAAATCCCTCTTCCTTATTTACTTATTGTGCTTTTATTAATTTTGTTATTATTATAGTTCATGTGGAGGCAGTCCCTGTGTACTCACTTTGGGGTGAAAATGTGGTCACAGACACATAAACTGACTGCAAGGAACACGGCTCCACGTTTCAGTTGAAAAAGCAACAGTAACTAATTAAGTAGAGTTGGTCAATATATTTTTAAAATCTGATTTATAAATACATTTACTCTGTAAAACAATTATACTTGAGACTTGGATTATCATGCTGACATTATCTTCCCCTCAGTAGCCTTAACTGGGGACTATGCATACAAAGACATAAATAATAGACTGCATGCTGATACCTTTTACAGTGCATTCCTTTCTCTCATCTGTTTAAAAGTCATGGCCATACTACTGTATTTAGGTTATTTAATTTATTCTATTATAATATGTTCCATTTATTTATATTTGTTCAACATCTTACAAAAACTAATTTGAATTAATTCCTCCACATAGAATTTGGAGGGGGAAAAAAAGAATAAAAGCATAAAACTTAAGTTTAAAAAAATTGGTTAGTTTTATATGGCAGAAAAATAAATAAAGCAACATACTTCAAGAGTAATCCTATTTTGTAATAATCCTATTTTAGGAAGTGATATCTAGCAAAAAACATTCTAAATCTTTTTATGTGTTTCTGTACTTTTTACGTCGCATGATACCTGTCTGTACTCCAATCCATAAAATCCACAGTATTTGTATTTATTTTTTAAAGGAATCTCACTAGTTGCAATTACAGTGACGAGACTAGTGCACTCGATACTCCTCCAGTATCACAAAGGATGTAAATTAGAATTTTTAGTACCATTTTACTCATTAGGAAAAGATAATAAAGGGTAAGGTTGTTTGGTAATCCACCTCCTCTGCAAGATGCTTATGTAACAAAGTGCACAGTGGGTTAATGCTCCATTGAATCCAGAATGCCTTTTAATGCAGCTTTGTGTATCTTTCATATTTGGAATACAGACACTATCTTTGGAGAACAATGGGCATTGGTTTGACCAAAGAGAAGAGTAAGTTCAGTGTAGAAGGCAGAGTATTATATTAAAACTGTGAAACGGCATGGGAAGTGATGCAATTTTTAACTCCATTGCAGGTTATTTTGATTTGATCTGGTGTGTCAGTTCAGCTAACTCCTCAGGTGAGTTCATAGCAGAAAACTTAAGATATTATCTTCACTCAGAGATTTCCCTGTCTATTAAGAAAACATTTTTCCTATTTTGCACACACAGCCAATGGAACCATCTCACAATGACTTTTAATTAATGAGGCATCAACAGGCACACAAAGCCTAGAAAATATAAGTGATCATGAGGTCCTGGCTGCAGGGTAGCAAGAAAATCTCTTGCCTCTCAGTCAAGATTATCTGTGATGCCTACAGCCGTAACATTTATAATGTGCTTCCATAATATATGAGGAAATCCCTATGGGATGGTAAGAGGTGTTTGAATACGGGACGGACAAACCAATTTCTCCACTAGCACCATCATCAGTGGAACAAAAAAGGGAAAAGACACCTAAATTACTCTCACATGGTGTCCTTTCCAAATTCATCTGGACAGGCTTAGGTAATAAGGAGAATGCAAAGTGCTCAGCCTTTCATCTTCTGAATTCAACACTGCTTCTTTGGGCTCCTGTCTGAGACTCCATGGCTCCTCTGATCCAGTACAAACCCATTCAGGGAGCTGGGCAAATGCAGAGACCAAGCAAACACTGCTATGGCAATGTATTCCTTAAAGTCATACTTTTCATTATCTAAAGGCACTGTGCTATTAAACAATAAAAATTTCTTATGGTAGTAAAAACCACAGTGCCCTAACTTCTAAATTCTGAATGTTACCATCATATTTCTGCAAAACACAAAAAAAATGAGCACGAAAACAAGAAAATATTATTGGAAAGGAAATCTTTGAGAACTGCCTAAACTGAGATGTACTGTTAGCTTCCTGCAGGGTTTTGTGGTGCTTTGGTTTTGTTTTTTTTTCTTTTTCTTTCTCCTTTCACATAGTAAAAAGAATAATTTTAACAGGACCATATCAGCGTCATCTCCTTCCAACATAAATCAAGTAAGATTGAAAATCATAACTCTGATAACTGTGGCGAGAAGAAAATTTCACTTTTTATAATAAGAGTGACAAATGTGTTCAATTTTAGGTAGGCATTTTAGATTTAATGCTCATCTTCCTCACATGACAAGAGCAGACTTTAACTGATGTTGATACACATGTCAGTTTTCTTGGTCTCCATGTTTCCATTCTGTGTGCCATTCATACATACACTAAAGCACAATTTGCACAATAGGATTAGTGTATCTCATACACCTTCTGTTTTAATTTATATTGGCAAAGTAGTGGATGCCCTTTGAAGTACAAATCCTGTTGGCTTAGTTCTCTTTCCTCTTAGCTTCCTCTTTAATAGCAATTGTAGATCATATTTCCTAGACCAAGAAAGTCTGAATTATTAATACTTATAATATAAATAACTATATAGGGACAAAATACTTGGGGAAAAAAAAAATCTGTTAGGAATGCCAGCAAGTATGGGGACAGCGAGCTGCTAAGAGGGAAGAAATAAAACAGGCATCATACCTAAAATATTTGGAATGCATACACACTTCATTTAGCTAGTAAGTACGTTAATTTAGCTAGTAAGTACTGAGCTAAGGAGGATTCCATGCTTCACTGGGTTCAGTAATGATGGCATATCCCTCATATGGTGTAGAAAAACGATCCCTTTTGGTCTTGGCAACACCACTGGAAAAGACTAATCTTAAAATGTATACCATTTCTTTTAATTCTTCTTTTGAAGTCATTATGAAATAAAATAACCCATGTTTATATTTCACATGTGTCTTGACACAGGCCATGTACAGAAATTTATTACACTTCAAAAATACAGCTCATAACCCAGCTGAATAATGCCAAACATTAGACAAAATTACTCAGTAATCCTCGGTAAAAGGTAGACAAACTGCAACATAGTCCTTAACATCTGACGCTGTGAGTGTGCAGTTTCTTCACTGATAAGGCTCCCCAGAGTCAATACTACCAGTTAAAATGTGCATAACGCCTTTAACTTTTGCTAAAAATACATGTAAGTATCTCACCACAACTTTTAATTAAGAACCCCAGCAGACAAGTTAACTCCAGGCTCAATACAGGACCTTCTTTGTACCTCTGCGTGTTTGCAGAATCATTTCCAGAGAGGCTGGATCTTTGGCACTGAATTTGTATAACGAAGACTTCTCAAACATGCTCTTATACAGACTTGTTCCCAAACTGGTTTTTTCCATTCTTTCATATCCTTGACATAGTATCTCCAGCGACAATGTAAGAATTATGGATAGGGCAAATTCTAGGTCAATTCTGTCCCTGCTTACCCTCTCATTCTCTTTTTTTAATTTTAAAAAAAAAGGACAATTTTCCATAGATACTTCTGTCTTTAAAATAAGTATTGACAAACTGGTAGTTTGGGGGATTAGGGTTGTTTTAGCATCCTTTCAGCCTGATCAGTATTTATATCTTTTGCTCAATTACTAACTCACTCTCTCCTGATAACATACCCCTTTTTCACTAATGAGGGTGGGGATAATTATGAAACAGAGCTGTAAGATAAGAGACTCTTTGTGCCCTTTGCCTACATGCCTGGTGCAATGTTTTGCATAGCTGTAAATATCCTTGCCTGCTACCAGTGCTGCTCTTCATTTCTATTTATTATAAGACAAAGTGGATCTTACTTTATGACAGAGAATAAGGACCAATCCTGTCTCACACCAATGTTTTGTTGGCACCTCTAGCTGGCTGCCTGATCACAGGGTTTATGTAACACAGGAGAGACCAAAAACATTTTCATTCCTGTCTGTTACCAAATCAAGGAATTTCACTCCAAGAATTACTTTGGCCTGAGGCCCAGAACAGGTAAAATTCAATCCTAGGTGTATGGAGTTTCTTCTACATATCAAGAAATGATTTAAAAGCTTCTCTAGTGAAACTACTGAGCTGAAAAAGGAATACGATCTCTCTTAAGCACCCAACACTCACTCTTAAGCCTTGGAGAATCCAGGAGAGTAGTCTTCATAAATGTAACAGCATTTTAAGATCATCTTCAGATTACACTAATAATTTCCATGACTTTTCATGGCCCTATAGAATTTGATACATGTTGTAAAATATCTGCTATGTAGATGGAGAAATAAAGTTACCAAATAAGAAAAAAAATAATAAATTATTTCTCTGTAAAAGGAAGGGAAGAGATGCAAGAATTTATAGGGGATATCTTTTTATGAGACCCATTGATATTAAGATAAACTAAAAGCACAATGCAAAGAAACCATTTCATTTTTGGGTCAAAATACAGATTTTTTTTTTTTTGTCCAGGTGGCTGAAGAAGCCTTAATTCTGCTAGTTTCCTTACAGTGGCAGTGGGGAACATTTAGGTTTACATTACTAACATTTCATGGATTTAATAATGGGAGGGAAAAATCATTAGCTCTGCAATATGCAGGCTACCTAGTGCAGAAAAGACGAAGCAGGACAGTTTCCTGACTTGCATTGCATGAGTTTTATATTTATGGAAGTCAGCATTGTAAATCTATAGAAGCAGAGAGACTCGGTAGTCAGTGAGCAAGCTTTCCTCTGGGGAAGACTCTAATACTTCGCTTCTGCTATACTGGGAAAAGGGGAAGGAAGAACTCAAAGACACTAAGGGTATGTTATCCTTATTATGGAGTTGGTTGCACAGAACAGTCTCTTGAACTTGTAATGAACATCTAACATAGTAGATTAGACAGTGGGCAAAAAATTCCCTTTCCTCCATGTTAAATAAAGAAACAATGAATTCCTGGTTTTGTGGCTTATGTGTTCTGTTTTGTTATCATAAATGATTCCTTATAGTAAATATTCCAAAGTTAACGGGATAAAAGTGTTCAAATACCAAGTTAATGGGATAAAAATGTTCAAGTCCGCAGTACTGAAAAAAAGCAGAAATTTAGCCTTAGAAATACCCTGATATCTGTATATGAAACACAAATGTTAGACCAAATCCATGCTACTGTACCAGTCGTGGTTTCATACAGCAATGAGATAATCCAAAAGTTTGAAACAATTTGTGAAGTACTTCCATATTGCTCAATGCATATTTGTGTGCATTTCAGAATGTAAGGAGACTTTACAAACACTTTCAGAAAAACTGTTTTCTTTAGGATCCTGACAAATTGCATATTTAAGCAGAGGCCTTGTGTACTTACCACCACCTCCTTCTCTGCGGTTACGTGCACTGCCATCTCTGCCAGACTTAATGCGCTGGGGAACAGTGAAAAAGGTTTGAAAAGACTAGAACAAAAACCCCCATTTAGTAATATATATATATTAGAGATAATTATTGAAAATTTAACTTAGCTGATTAACAAAACAGTAGAAGAACATTAAGCTAGACTTACTACACTGCAACTAATAAACCCTGTTTTTTCAACATACAAAATTGTCCTTAAAATCATTGTTAAATCCAATAAAACAAGAGTTCTGTGAAATTCAAAAAGAATATCTCAATAAATTATTTTTCTTCAGATAAAATTTATACAAGGAATGTGTATAAAAATAGTTCAGATGTTACTTTGTAAAGTACAGCTGAAAAAACAGGCAACATAGCCCTCCTTGCATGAGTTCAAAGTAGCCTCTACCTATTAACATCTTGTAAATCCCACAAGCATTTTATTATTGTAAAGACTCAAAGCGGAGAAGTTTGGGAATCTATAAAAAAACTACTCACCCTATGGATCTTAGATTTTGAATTCTTGACACAGTACTGTACTTCACAGCAAAATTTAATTTGCTGTTGAGTGTTAAATGCAAGATAAAGGTGAAGGTAAATACTTTAAAAGCTGTGTTTAAAAAGTCAGTTCTCTTGCAAAGAGGAAGGTACCATAAACATTTTCCAGCTGTGTTTTTTTTAAGTGTTATTTGAAAACTTTAACAGTTTATCAAAACAATACCTCTGTATGACATGGCAGACTCAGCTTCTCCTGGCAAAACACCGAATTTCTCACACATACATCTTGTGAATTACAAGAATGTATATCTCAGCAAGGGACTTTTTGATAGGTAGGTACAAAAACTTGGTGTTTAAAGCACTCAGATATTAATAAAGTATTTCTGCATCTTATTTCAAAATATGACTTCAGGATCTGAATAAAACACACATGCACACTACCTAACCATGTTTTCAGGTCAATTACTGAAGCTTCTTCACTCATTTTTCACCAGAACAATATAATGGAGTCTGGGAAAGTTGGAATGGTACCAAAGAAGTGAAAGAACTTTCAAGATTCATGCCAACAGAAAAAGGAAGAACTCTTAAATCAAAACTCACAGGAGTCAGACAGGAAAGCATTGAGCCTAGTGTGAAACCAGGATTAGTCTAGGAGCAATTTAGTCTGGAACCAGAATTTCTCATACTTTTTATTTATTTTGGGAAATCCTCAAGTTTAAAATATGTTCTCTGAATTTTGTATTAAATATCGTTTTCACAGTCCAGTGAAGTAGCATATACCAATCCTTCAGGAAGCATATTCAGACTCTCCAAACAATGAATGACTGACATCAAGTCTGACAGTGGAAGCTCAGCTTCTGACTGCCAGAGGGAAGCAGTCCCTAGATGATAGTGCCCTCTTGGCATTTACATCCTAGGACTTTACTCCCAAAATACTACATCAGTACTACAGCTTAAGCATATGATTAATTCCTGTAAAGTTCCAAGCGAGTAGTTTGTAAGTAATCCCATACTAAAAGCAGACATTCAAAATAGGTTTCCACCCTAAAAATGCCTGTTTCTCTTCCATGACTGCAAAAGACATTCAGGATGGTTAGCCCAGATGTAGATGCCTGAAGGTAAGGGCAGTAAGTCCCTGCCAGCATTTGCACCTATCATCACTGCTTCACAGCACACCCCATCAGCCCCTCATTTTCAGTCATTAAGCTCACTTAACGGAAATAAATAGTAATGTGTGTATACATCAGTGCCAAGGAGCTTGTGTGAACTTTTACACTATTACTTGTCTTTTTTAAACTGAAACATGAAAAGGGAAGATTAATGCAGCAAAAAACCAAACCAATACCAAACAACGAACCCAACATCCCCCCCAGAATGCCCCAACATATGAAGGTTGCAGTAAAAATTGAATGCTGTGAGAGGCAGGGAGAAAAATTTCTACAGGGAATGAACTCCACAGATGTTCTCAGATTCTTGGCTGGAAGTATTTAACAACTTGTCCATATTTGAGAACTGAGAGAAATAAGTACTCCAGAATATTTATTTTGGTAAAAACTCCATGTGGATGTACTTATTCTGGAAAAACAATGCCAGAACAGCAAATTTTGATAAATTTCTACAGGAAGACAAAGTCTGTGTGCAGACTTTGAAATGCAGGTATACTACACTAGCATTTAACTATTTTGTATTTACTGGGTGCAATCAGGAAAACATGGCTTAATCTGAAATTGGGAGCAGGAATAGAACTATATCTGGTACTGCTAACTGAAACCAGTATTCCTATTGGAAACTTAGGTGGTGAAATAAAATTTTGGTAATTTTAGAACTTGACAGTATAGTTTATGACTATATGGTCATGGAAGACAGAAGAAAATTCTTAGGACAAAAAAAACCTAGTAATTTCCAAAGCCAGATGGTAGACATAAGGCTAAAAAAATCACACACAGACCCCAACCAACGAAAGAAAAAAAAAAATCCCCAACCCAAAACCAGGGTATGGAACCCGGATGCAATCACAAAAAAAGGAACTGCAGGGCTATTGCTTGCAAGACAGCGCTGATGCTGGGATTCTGTCACAGAGATACTCAACTTCTAATACAGGACAGCCACATACTAAATTGCAGTGCATCCTGAAACATCTCTTCTTAGTCTTTGTTCCTTTACTATGCAGTAACTTGTGCTACCATGCATCTGTACTGGATTCCACTGATACCTCTGTCATTCAGATATGACAGGTACGAATTCCCTTAACACGATGAAGTCAGAATGAAAAAAACCTCCATAATTTAAGTGTGATTTCTCTGTTACTAAAATCTTAAGTAACTTAAAACTTCTAAATATTCTACTGGTAGCTTTTTCCTCATGAGAAAGTAGAGAAATGGTTTGGGAAAGCTCCCGCTTCCAATGTGAAATAAACAGAAAGAGATGTGACTTTTTTTTTTTTAACATATTCGAACATTAACTTTCTGAAAGGAAAAAAGGTGTTTTCCTTAAAATCCTTGACATTTGCAGATCTGTTGTACATAATTAACACCTTCAGTGTAAAAAAAAGCCAGAATTACATGCAAGGAAATAGATAGCCTCTCCACCTCTTTCTCTCTTATGAACTATTAAATAATCCAGTTGTAAATGGTTTAACTGGTGAGCTTTCCCAAGTAAAGTGCTGAGGTATTGAAAGTTATTGCAAAGACCTATGTATATTACTGACACTGAACTGGTACTCCCTAGAAACCAAGCAAAACCTGTTTAACACACTTTAGAGAGATCTCTTAATTATGAGTTTTGCAGAATAGAAACATTATATCTGGTCATCTGTTTTGCTTACTGATATGATTATGGGGAGACATGGAGGAATACTAATCCCACTACAGCCGCAGACTGCTTCTTTTGTCCATTTTTGCAAGTGCTTTAAATTTTACATTTACTGAAAATTCAAACCAATAGACTTCAGCTAGTCCTTCAAAGTATGTTGTAGCATAAAGCTGGAATCCTTTGATCAGTGTTTCCCTTTGTGAGTTTCATTTTTAAAATGTCCTAGTGTCCATGTGCATACTCAGACTCCCTGGAATTTAAGTAAAAGTATCTGGCATCAAAGGGGACCCAGTAAGTGTTACTAGGAGCACAGTAAATTAGTTAAGACTTAATGTGTCCTAATGTGACTATGTAGCTTTGAGGCAATAGGAAAAGCAAACTTGAACACTTTGCAGTTCAACAGCAGGGATACTGCTTTTCAAACAAGCAGCTGTTTTTCATTTTAAAATCTTACTTTATCACCAGAATAGCAAGAAAACAATGCACGAGTGCACACACACACAAATGTGAGCTCACTTCTGAGCAGAACACAAGTTATGATCTCGTACCTTTCCCAGCCTGTTGCTGTTCCATGCATTTTTTTTTCAGTTTAAAAATTGGCACTAATATGAATAGTTTATATCTAACTATGTAATCTGTCAATGTTGCAGCTTTGTATATAACAAAAAGACAAATTCTTAGGCTCCCCATCTCTCCCTGTAGTTGCATTATTACTTGGCTCATAAGTACACTAAAGTATTAAATGAAATCTGGCAAGTAGGTAGGAAAGATGACATTCCAGAGACATTGAATTATGCAAGTGGCTCCGGCATTCCCATCACATCCACACAGTCCATCTTTCACTAGTATTAAAAATCAAAGAAAATCCGGTATTCAAAAACTATTCAGACAGATATAAGACTGACCAGTAATTTAAAACTAAACTTCCCAAACCTCAAAACATAAGCCTCTCTAAACCAGGAAGTTAATAACACATTTTATCTTGAAGTAAAATAAACACTATTTTAGCTTCATCTATGTACTTACCTGCTCTCTTATTTCTTTTAATTTTTCCACTTTCTTGAGCTTTGTTATATATTCCTGGACTTCTTTCAGCCCCATATCTGTGCAGAGACGAACTAAAAATCGGAGGCCTAATTGAAAAGCAAAAAGTACCATTAAAAAAGGCTTACAAGCAGGTCCAACTACAAGTGCACCCCAACAGAACTGGACATGCAGAATGGCAAACAGTACAAGGTGCAAATAAGGTGACTCCAGTCCAGTATCGCCATCTGAGTTGTGATATTTTGCAGGTAATTCAACATTTTCTGTGTGTCTATACCCATGAAGAGTACAAATATCATTTATACATGTGGAAGGCACTAACTCACCTGGCTCAGAACTCTTAACATTTGCAAAATATTTTGGAAGCTGAAAGCACAGTAATGATACTAAGACATTACTGAGGAGCTGCTATCAAAAGCATTTTGTTGAAAGCAATTTTACAAATGCCAAGTGAATCAAAACTGTTTTTTCTGTTGCTGTGGTTGATTTTTAAAGAGTAGTATTTATAGAATTAAAAAATCCCAACAAACCTGACATGAAAATCAACTACAACTGTATGACTGAACCAGAAGAACCCCTAAAAACATTCTCCTGAGACACTATACCAAACTGAAGATATTGTTGCTATTCCTATGTGTTTGTCAACATTCCTTTGAAAGAACTAAAGCCAAAACAAGCATGACATGATACATTGCTCTGCTGACGCTTTAACAAACATGTTATTCATTATGTTCTAAGCTAGTTTTCTGTTGGTTTAGGGAAAACATGGTCAGGGAAGGATGAGTGAAGAACCACTGTTTCAGCAGCAGAAAACTTAAATCGGCTAAATTGTCTTGTCTAACTTCTGCCTCCATTTGTGTAATTTGTAGAAACTACATTCAGAAACATATTTGCACTCTAAAAGGTTTACTAAATACCCCTCCAAAATATGTGTGACCAAAATGAACACCATATTTTACTTATAACTTTGAGGAGTTAATAGCACTGAACTTCAGTTGTACAAGAGAGCTGTGTGATTCCTCTTTAAAAAAGCAATACATTTGTTAAAGCAGAATGATACAATTTTAAAATAAAACTGAATTAATGTTCTTCCCACGTTGCATTTAAAAGCATAGACTTGTTGGCGACAACCTCGTATTTTGGAATTTGTGAGGCAGAGTGTGGGATGTCAGAATGTTTTCACAACCACTGACAACCCCTATTTTCTACATGGCTTTTTTTATTTAGAGTACAGGTGTGACTGATTTTGCAAAATGTCTTACTCTTCAAAGATTTCCAGAGACTGGTTGACCAACTATACTTAAAAACCCAGCAACAAAATCTCACCCTCTACATTTTTTGGAAAGCCTGGCTTTGGTAAAACTTAGCAATATGATTTTCTCATATCTAGAAACTTACAGCAGGAATTTCAAGTAGCTGGAACTAGAAGTACAAATACATACATTTTATCACAAGAAATATCTAATAAGTAACATAGTTATGTATGAGAAAGAACTCAACCAATCCGACTCAGTTATAACTAAGTTTATTTTCATCACTCTTCTTCAGCATGGACCTAATATTTCTTAAATCACACTTCAGTGTTGTCACAGAAAACACGCAGCATTAGCATGAATAAAAATGTTAGTTCATAAAAATATTTTCATATGAAAAACACGTCATATGATTACTAACACACATATTCTATGTAACAAAGTTTCCTTTGATAGTTGTACCACAGAATTAAAAAACTTACATTCAACATTCTCTGGGAATTTTCTGTGAATGACTTTGTATTTCTCTAGAGCTTTCTGGTAGTTACCTGCAAATAAAACAAACATCTCCTATCCACACAGTCAAACATAAAAAAAGAATATCTGATGTGAAACTGATACACTTTAACATCAATGCATCTTTTTAGTTAGAGTAAATAATTTAATATTATAAGACCAAATTTGGTGAGACCAAACTTAAAATTCTTTAATTACGTAATTTAATAGTAATTTACTTTAACAGTAAAAATTAAGAACATCTGAAAACAGTCCAAATTACTCTGTAAATAACAGAATTAACGAAGAGCAGTTTCCTGACTTTTGCCTTTTTTTTTTGACCTTCCCCTAATACTACTCTGTTTCTACAACACGACTACTAGATGAACTGTATCAAGCCTAACAGGACTTGTCTGGGACTGCAAATGTATGGATTGATCAAATGGAAATATCTAACAGCAGAGCTCTGCCTGTCCTTCCACAAAATACAAATTGTGTGGCTCTCCTTTGCCCAGATCTGGTAGTGAAGTAATTATTCCTTAAGTCTTTTGCCTTCAATTTTGACTCAGACTGATTACGGAAAGGACTGACTGACCCTGTAAATCTAAAATATCATATCCATTAAATACTTGACAAAAAAAGTTTCTTGAGATATCGCTGTTTTTCTCTTCCTGGTGTGAGGCAGAGATCAAACTGATGTGCTATGTGTTAACATGATAAACTGGGAATGTTGCCAATGAACCATAAATGATCTAAGAAGCAGCCAAGCCCACTGTTTTTCTTTGCTAGGAAAATGTTTCATCTGTCTAGTTTTGGGTGGTGCTGATTATTCTTAATACACTGGCTTCCCCAGGTCCTGTTCCTTTTCTCACTGTTGTATTAAATAACTGAGCTAAGTGAGAAAATGCACTTATTTATTACGGAAGACTGCTCTGTGAAGTTCTAAAGAAGCATAAAGAAGAGAGACAAGATGGAACAGGAAGAAAGAAGAGTATAATTTACATCATCAAGCATCCTGAATGCATTTTAGGTGGTGAAAAAACCCAAAAAGGTTAGTCTCTTTAAATTTTGCTTATCAGTGTATTCTATTTCCAGTATGGAAATACAGCACATTAAGACTCTCTTCTGCTTATATAGTGCAAATACTATTTTAATATTGAAAAATTATACCTGTTGTTGAAAAGAAAAGGGAATTAAGCAACTTGAAAAACTAACTGTTTATGTTGGATCAGTTGGTAGTATAATTACATTCAAAAAACCTTCTATCAGATCACGTATGCTGTACTATTTTCTTTATTTATTTAAGAGCATAAGGAATGTTTCACATATAAGTCAGTGCAGGCATGCTTCCTGGACTTAAAAGAAACTTCATGTTTTATTACATATACAGAGAAAATTTATAACAAAATAATACATAACTGAGTGTTCACACAAACTTTAGCACCAATATTCACATCAGTCAGAAAAGATCAAGAGAAAAAAGTCAAAACATAATCAAAACAAAACAAAACACAGAATCATAAAATGGTTTGGTTTGGAAGGGACTTTTGAAGATCATCTAGTTCCAACCCCCCTGCCATGGGCAGGGACACCTTCCTCTAGACAAGGTTGCTCCAAGCCCCACCCAATCTGGCCTCGATGGAGCATCCACAACTTCTCTGGACAGCCTGTTCCAGTGTCGCACTATACTCACAGTAAAGAATTTCTTCCTAATATCCAATGTAAGTCTACCCTCTTTCAGTTTAAAACCATTGCTCCTTGCCCTGGAACTGCAGACACCAGTTTATCTCCATGTTTTCTATATGCTCCCTTCATATATTGTCTAGTCTGAGCAACCCCCATGGATTACAAAAAAAAGAAATGTTACAAACCTCCAACCAGTTACCAAAAAGTTACAGAACTTACCGCTTCTCCTGTAGCAACTTGCAACCATCAGCTGCCACTTCACTTGTGTTGGCCTGTATATAAATAAAATAAAGTTATGCACATTTGCCAAAGAATGAATAAGCAAAATAATCTGCATTAGCACTGCTAAAGACCTACTATTAAACTACTAATAAATTTTTCACCTAGCCTATTGCCTTCCTAGAAAGAACTTATCCAGTTCAATTCACACACAGTTCACCCCTGCATCATGCACCTGTTTTCAGGCCTTGATGTCACTTATTTTCGGTTGTATGTTATAGCCTTCCTCCTGCTCGTGATTCTGTGCCCAGACACAATTAGTAGACCAGACAGGTGAACCACTAACCTTTGTCAGAGTTACAGAACCATGCAGTGGGGAAGAAGAAAATGCTAAACTGTATTTTGAGGAGGCCCTACCACTAGGATCCCGTGCATGCCCAAGAGATCCCTGCCAGGAAGCACACTCCCCACTTACAGCTTCAAACTCTGGTTTCTCCTTTTTGCCTAAGATGCCATTGCAGCATCTAGCTGCTGCCTATACGCTCCTTCTCTTTTTAGCACATAATGGTGACAGGTATGTCAGAGAAAATATCTGAGATGTTTCAGCATGTACAATAAAACAGTTGGACTCCTTCCTCATTCTTCTCAAGTTAATGTGAAAACTGGGAAATTTTAATGTCAATAGCGTCAAGATCCTCTATAAGCCAAAGCACTTTCCACATGTGGCTTACAATGCAATAGCAGCATATCCAAAAGGTACTGTAAGACAACATTTTCAGAATAGTTTTGTACTTATTCTCTTCAGTTTTTCCTTCTAATCGTAGCACAGGCCATTTTTAACTCTATATAATCTGTTTGCCTGGTAGTTGCCAAAAAAGCTCATGAAATACAGACGCTGCACCTTTTTAGTTTCAGCTGAATGTGTCTCCTGCAAACAAAGGCAGTCAAGGAGACATGAAAATAAAGTTTATTACATAGTTCAGTATGAAAATTCTAGAGAGAAGAAATTGTCAGCAGCAAGCATTAACTGCACAACTCCTTTTATTAATGATAGATTTGTGCATGCTGGTAAAAATAAAATAATGGAAGCTGTTGTCCAGTTCATTGTCTAACGTTATCTTAGAATGCAATTTAAAATGTAGTTATTGTGATTAAAATACTGAATGCATGAAACATGAAGTATATGGATTGTAAACAAACTAAACAAACTAAAAATTGTTAAACTAAAAAATGCTGTTCACAGTTAAAATAATTTAAAAACATAACTATTTAAAATCAGTAGCAATTTATATTTACACACGTATTTACCATTTAGCATATCTAGGCTCTATTTCTAGTACCAAATAAACACCAAAATATTTATGCACCATTATCTACTGTTAAAAATCTCCTCCCACAGAGAAATTTCTCTCTATTACAGATAGATTACAATTACAAATAACAATGAAGAATTTCATATGCCAATTATTCGTTAAGTACTTTACAATCCATATACTTCATGCTTCATTCACGGACTGAGTGAGATAAGAAGCACAAAATCTTTATATCTTTGCCAAAACAAGATTGTGAAATAATTCTTTTTAGTTTCATCTGTTTCTTTCAAAATTTTCTAACAAGGCCATGAACATCAGTATTTGCAATCTCATAGTTTGACTAAAACATAACTTTTTAAGATGACCAGTATTTATAGGGAAAAGAATATTGGCAAACCTGTGAACTGGGTATTTTTATCTTATCTACATCTCTATTTCTTTATAATTATAACACCATTTGGGTGAAGTCTATGTCTTTTTTTATTATTTCTTTTTCATTTTTAATCCTTATTTAAACCTTGGATTTTCTCTTCTACAATTAATGTCCATTCCAACTCAAGTGTCTCAAAGCCAGAATTAGTATTTTTTACTGAACTTCTTACAACCTGTGGGAAACGACTGAATGGTAGGCCTTGAATTTGAGCAGTTGCAGCTCTGAAGTTGCAGAGGAATGTAAACAACTCTAAGGAAATATTTACTGCAATGCCGGATGGAACAAACCTAATGCAGCCGAGACCAAAGGTCACCAATCAAAATGTGTAAAGTATCACCAATGACAGTGTGCACAGTGTCTTCAGTGTCACCAATGACAGCATGCACAGTGTCTTCTGTGTTACCAATGAAAGTATGTACAGTATGCTTGAGACTTTTAACCAATTATGTTGTAGCATGATAGTATGCAAAGAATATAAAAGAAACACTTAAGAGCAACAAACAGTTTTCCTGATCACCTTACACCTGGACTACGACTGATATCTGAGCGCATTCTTGGCCATGGCAACAACCTATTTGCAGTATAATTTTTCCTTGAGTGATCTGTACAAACTTTTTGTTCACCCGCTGTCTTTGTACATGTATGCCCATTCAGATTCCCAGAACAAAAAGAATGTCAAATTTTAGATCATCGCAAGACAAGAAACAAGAGAGTTTTGTTTAGTATGATTTTTGGTAGGTTTCCTAAAACACAAAATAGAGAAATTCACACTTATTCAAGTGAATTTCAGTTGCATGAATTGGTCTGTTAACACAAAATGCTTCACGAATTCCAAATAAAAAGACCATATGCATGTCTTTTTAGAATTATCTTTGAACTCTGGATTATAGATTTAAATTTGACCAAATTTTATTTAACCATGCTCTGGTAAGCTCCCTTTCTGAACTAAAATAAAGTATATAGCCTATATACTTTCTGAAGTGCATCATGTTCTGCTAATGGACAATTTTAGCCATTAAGTTGCTGAACCGAACTCAGTATATTTCAAACATCTCTATCAGGATCGATTTAATCTGCAAACTTATTTTCACTGACCCCTGCACTGCACTGCACAATTTTGCTTACTTATATACCTTATTTGTAATAGCTTTTTTATGGAAGTAGGAGTGATGCAAAAAGTGGAAATGCAGCAAGAACGGCTAAAACACGCATTTATCTGAACCACCAAATCATCACTGCATAACAAAACAATAGAAAGGAAATATTTCACACAAAGCCATGGAGAAAGAGGTCTTGGTGGCTTTGGAGAGCTACTGCCCACTTTGTAGCTGTGTTTAATGGCAGATAACAGAGAAAAAGAGGGTCTAATACCTAATACTTTCTTGGGCCCAAAGGAGGATCTTATTTAACATTGAAGTTGCACAGTAAGAACAAAAACACACTGTAAATGAACAGACAGTTGAGAAAATTAAGTAATATCCCAAATACTCTTAATTCTGATGTTTGTTTATAGTATTAATAAAGTTATACAACTGATTTATCTCTAGGTATACTTATGGATGTCTAATCACAAATCTGAGTAGGCATAAAATAATAACTACTTACAGGATAAGTGCTGCTCTTTCAAAGTACTCAATGGCTTTTTCACAAAACTGGGTGTCAATATAATATGCTCCAAGCCATTCAATGACCTCAATGTTTGAAGGGAAATACCGGTATGACTGACAAAACAGGAAAGGTGAAAAACCCCACAATTTTAGTGATAAACAACATCTTTATGGTACTTCTGGAATATCTTACTCAAGTGTTTAATTCTCCAGATGCCCAAAATGTGTAATATAAATGAATAGAAGTAGTGTGCTGTACTAAGTGATCCTGGGGAAAAAAAAAAAAAAAGGCATGCCAAGTTTTCTAATTGCAGAATGCTTTTTAGAAGTTACCTGAGATGAGTCTGTCACATTTTCCATCCAGCCTTATTTGAAATACTATTTTAAATAGCTTGCAACAACAAAAACATTTACTTAGCTCATGTCTACATATGAGTAAGTTACCTAAAACATTCCCTAAAACATTACCTAAAACAATGCTAACTAATACGTGTACAATTTCATATTCACATCAGTCTGCTGGAAAACTCAACTAAAAGCATTCTTTTCTATACATACATACATAAATAACATTTTCGGCTTTTTAGAAATTCCCATTGAAATAGGCAGCAAAATTATCATTAAGCACAACTCGACTAGTAATTCAGACTGCAACACAGCCTTTGGTCATCCTTACTTCACAGATAAAAAGAACCCTCATATTGCAACAAAGCCATTTCCTATCATTCTTTTTTCTAAGACAGAAGAATCTCTCCAAACTACAGATAGTAGTACAGCTGGCTTGAAATTAAAGAGGCTGTATATCTTTATGCAACCATGTATACATAATGTATAGCTATACTGTTAATATATATATATATAAACTTACATATATAAACACATTATATATGTATCTCCATATCTATTATACAGACACAGCCTCCAATCAACTCAGTCACATTACACACCTTTAAAATTACTACATTTACTAAATTTGCTATATTCAGATTTTATTTTGTCCCAGACTATATTTTAAAATAAAACTGTTACAGGTCAGTGTAAACAATGACCACATAAAGAAACATGAACGTCTGGGTCGGTCTCCACACGGAACCACAGGCTATGTGTTTCCTTAGGCTCTGACTACAAAAATTAGATTTTGTCTCTCCCAGTATCTCTTTTTTTTTTTCCTTTCTGGAGGACATTTTAAAAAAGTTTAAATGAATCAATTGTTAATTTGATATAGGAACTTAGGGCAAAATTTTCTTTAATTATTATAAAGTGCACTGAAAAAGCAATATAAGAGCAAGTACCTCATAGTAATAATGAAAAGCTTGGGATTTATCACCTTCATTATCATATAATTTCCCTAGCTTTGAAAGTACACGTGGATCAGTTGGTACTACACTGATCAACTGCAGGAGCCACTCTATGGCTTGATTGGGATCTTCCATGATCTCGTATCTGAGTTTTCTTCTGTCAAGGACTGATGTCGATGGTAGTTTGATTTACTCAGAATTCCTATTACTTTACCTAATGCAATCCATGTGCTGAACAGATACACCAGTCACTGTAGCGTGAAGATACACTGGCCTTCTTTTTTTTTCATATTGTTTTCATAATTTCATTTCCATTAGAAAGTCTTTTTGTTACGCTAAAGGAAAAAAAATATTCAGAGACTTCGGCTGCTCTTTCACCTTAAAACCAGGCTGGACTCAACAGAACTATGGGCTCAATTCTCCTCTCTCTTTCTGACACTAATTTTACTTTGACTTCCTCGTTTATAAGAATAAGTCTGACAACCAGGCCACTGATTTTTAGCCTTTACAACTTGGTTAGTTTTTCATACTAACAGCATTTTGTTTTACTGTAAGTGATAAGGTGAAACTGCTATTCCCAAGAACAGACTTTTGCCAGTAGTGAGGTTTTCTGCTGTATGTCTAAGAAGCACAAGCCAGATTCTGGTCCGGAGAGGCAGCATTAGCTGTAACTCAGCCTGTAGTGTGCTCTTTCCTCCTCAGTCACCCCTGAGGGGCACAATGGCTCAGAGCTCTCAGCAGTGTGAGCTGGAGCTACTGCCCAACCTGCTTTTTCACTTTCTGTTGCATCCTACCTATCATGCAAAAAGCTTGTGAGTATTGGTGGAAAACAGTTGTACACAGCAGTGAAGCAGACAAGCTCTGCTCCAGATGGGAACTCGGAGTTGTTGGGCCATTTATGCTGTTGTAAAGGGGCTATACAACAAGCAATAGAGATCAGAGTCCTTTGGTATTCTTGGAGGTTACTTATTTTACTGACTAAAATATATTTTTATTATCTACACTATTCTTAGAAGTGTAGTACAGCAACTGAAATCTGTTCTGCCTTGGGAAGGATTTTATTACAGTTTGCACATCCTCAGAAGAATTGTTAAAGAAATTCATAGTGTAGAATATCACTGGTGATGTGCAAAGCCAATTCCTCCCTTCCTCAGTTTTTCAATTTGTTGAGCTTTTGCAGTATTGGGAGATAATTATTTTCTTACACATACACTAACTAATCTGAAAACAGCTTTCAGAAGAGAACATCATATTCATTAACCATAATTTTTTTTTCTTAAATATTTTACTTACTTGTGCTTATATATGCCATATTATTTTCATAATAAAATCAGCAGCATTTGAAATATTCCAGGACACAATTTAACATTGAGGGTAAATCACTAATTCCCTGCAATGAGAGCAGTCTTAATGTATTTCTTCACTGGAAATGTTCTAGCAGGTTTAAGTTCTGGTCTCATTTTCACAAACATCAGAGAACAAATCATCTTTACTATAATGGACACTGCAGTAAATTTCTAAGTCACCCTGTCATGACTGAAACACGTACTTCAGACTAAATGAGTTTACTATAACCACCACCCTTATCATAATCCAGAAAAAGATACATGCTTGCTATCTGGTAAAGGACTTGGGCACTATTTGGAAGGATTGCATGGAGTTTCAGCAAAAAATCCAAAGCTTCGTCTATCCTGTTTAACTTCTTGTACGCTAAACCTAAAAAAAATAAAGGTTACAGATTCAATGCAGTGAGAAAAAGACTACTTAGGCCTACTAACTGACAGAATAACAAGAACACCAAAATTGGTACTTGGAGGAAGTATGACTGCCTTGACATTAACAGACTCTTTGTGAGAGCCATGCTTGACCTACCAAACTGATAAACACAAGGAACGTGAACCCAATCAAAGTGCAAGGACGCCTGTAATCTCACTTTTTGAACAAGATGAATGGGGGAATAAGGGTTTAATAATGCTAAAACTGGTATACTTTTAGTAGGTAGCATAAATTTCTTAATCTTCAAAGTAACTTATTCATCTGGAATTACTAGTCAATTTTCTTAACACGGGGATTTTTTTTGCAGAACAGACAGGAAGTACAAGTTAATATCTTTCTATAACATAAATTACTCAATAAAGTAATAATAATTCACATATATTTCTACATAAGAACACTCTGAAAGACAAATTCTCAGAAAAACTGTTATGTTTAGACAAAAGCTAAATCACAAAAGCACCTATGACTTACCAAGGTTATAAAGTGCTTCAGTGCATAAGGAATCATTCCTGAGAGCTTCCTTATAAAATTCAGCTGCTTTTTCATAGTCTCCATTTGCAAAAACAGTATTTCCTTTGTTAGTTAGAGCTGCTGGATTATACCTATCAGAATTTACAGCTAAATCTGCATAGTTAGTTGCTTGTGCCAATTCATTCCCCTACATGAACAAAACAAACATTGTATTAGCCCTTTGTCAGTTAATTTTCTTGCAGCTGTGGCTTCTTACAGGAATTACAAAAGATTGAGGATTAAAAAAAAAAAAAAGATTCTTCATTCCCAAAATATTTCTTATATATTTGCATAAGGCAGATCATCTCTTTCTAGTCGCTGATAACTTAACACTTGAGATGTGTCTTGCTATTGTGTCCCACCTGGTCTGGAAGTTTTCTTTTAAAGTAGCATTTATTTAAAAAAAAATAAATAAAAAAAATACCCATACCCTACCAACTTCATACACAAACACACCTGCCTAAGCTACGTAGTTCAGGTCTTCCTAAGTTCAACCTGGGTCTCCAGGACCCACGTTTTAAATGGAGCCACTGAGCTGCTGCACAAATCCCACTGCAGACACACTTCTGTGGCTTGGGGCTCAATCTCACTCTTCTTCCCAGCAACAGGATACAAAAAGACCTGATCCGAACTTCAACTACAGCCAAGAACTGGTGTTCCAGATTAACTCCGCTAGCACGCAGTTTCTTCTTGTTTACAGGGATTATTTAGACAGACACAAAAATTGTTACAAAAATACAGAAATTGCTACATAAACCACAGTTCTTACCTGGTTTTGTTGAAACAAACACTTACCAAATAATAAAGGAATGAAAGGTTTGTTGCAGCTGCACTCTTTACTCTGCTATCCTTTTTTTCAAACATTTTCAAAGTCTCCAGTGCCTAGAAGTAATTTGGAAACAACTTACTTCCAACTGAAGTAAACTTACTCCAAAATCCTTTCAGAAAGCATTGATAAACTTCACAGTAACAAACAGCTAAAATCATCAACTCATGTACTCACATATTTGATAATTACTAGAGCTTGTAACACATACTTATAAGCATGTACATGCAACAGTATATCTGTATTATACATAACATTCATTTTGGTCACAAAATTTCTAAAATATTGAATATTTATTACTTCTCCAAAATTTAGATTAGATAAGGCTACTGTGAACTACACAGATATCTGACAATTCTATACATATAAAACACAGCGTTAGATGATTTGCTTTTAATCTGGCTAATTAAAATTCTCATACATATTTTCCCAGTTCTTTAAGTGAACACAAAACAATTGACATTAAAATCCTTATTAAAAAGCTAAAAGAGAACGTGCCATATGTAAAAAAATACACACAACAGCATAGGACTGGACTTGAACTTGCAGTTGGTTTGTGTATTAAGACAACGACAACTGCCCAAGTCTAGGAAGTACTCAAATGTGAAGCCTGAGGCCACGAAGTTTTTTAAAAACTTTTACATGAAAACTAAATGTCATCAACTTCAAAATAAAGATAAAAAGTAAACATATTTAAACTATGAGAGAAACTTCGAAATAAAAGGCAGCTTTTTCTTTTGGACAACATTTCTAACTGCAGACTAAATGATTAAGAAAAATCTGTCTTCTTGATGCCAAATATTTATACTAACTACACAAACTGTTAGAATATCACAGTGAGCACAGTCCCATCATGTATTACAACACAGATGTGGCAACCTCAATTTAGCCATCAACACTAGCAATTCAAAAGTTTCCCTCTTTATTGACATGAAATATTTCAGCTGCTATTTACATATCAAAGCAAATGCATTATACTGTATGTCAAATGCCAAAATAAACATAAATGAAACAGGTTTTAATTGACTGTCATACATACAATGTTTCACAGTTAGTCTACACAAAAAACAAATGATGTGTAAAATGACAAAGTATACACAGTTAAATGCAGTTCATTGATTTAGTCAACTACATTCCACCCAAGAACTATGAATTACTAATGATCTTAATATTCTCCAATAACAGAAAATTCTCTAAAAATACACCAATTTTAACCAAGAAAAGCATTTCAAAAGGCTCTGGATTTTGTGGTCTCAGAAATGTAAGAATTGTAACTATGATAATTTTAAATTTTATATATATTTGTGACTTTCTCCAAAAAGGGAACGATCCCAAATATTTTCAGATGTCATACTACTATATCTGAGGTACTCTACTATTAAGAAAATTCTTCATGGAATTTTTAGTGAATTTAGAGCTTTATAGTTCAAAGTTACTTTCTGAAAAGCTATTTCCCATTATAGCTGAGTTATTTAACTTTGCTTTTACTGCTAAAAGGTATCTTTGATGATAAAGATCAGAGAGGAAGTAATATCCTTTTCATGTATAATAAAAAGTTCACGTGGACTCTAAACTCAATTCATTTACTGGTCATTTGCTGGTAAATAATGTTGCAGGTCTCTTGAACCCTTTCAGCAATTATGAGCCCTAGGATGAAAATCCATAGCAATATTCCTTTTGTCCTTGCAACACAGCACTGTCTCATCAGCTACATTTAAAGATTTCTAAAGAACTTCTAACTTTTTAATCCCAACAATAATTATTAGTTAGATTCAACAATCAAAACACTGACTGTCCAAACTATTCTTTGTGACATGCTTCCAATGTACCTAAATTATTTGCTTACAGAAATTAAACTTCAAAGCAGCTTGCCTGACTCAAGCAGGGTGTGCCAGAGGTGTTTAGGAGCTGCATGGTTAACCTGCAGAATTTAGGTTTTAAATTGATTTTCAAAGGTTTTTTCTGATATTAAAAAACATTCAAAATGTCTAATACACAAAACCAGACATAGTATGGTAGTTTTCCTCTTGAATTTTCTTTTATTTTTTTATTTGCAAGACCTGTTTTAAAATAGCATATTCATTACAATGAACCCATCTATTTTAGTGTTTTGGGTTTTCTTAAACACAAAAAAACCCCCTTTAAGTCTTGAAACTGAGTATTTCAAAAAGTTTCCATTCTTGTTCTTCAGCCAAAGGTGTGCTGAGCAGGTGGTGAGTTAGTAAGTATACGAACAACGGGCAGATTGGATGAATTTAAATGGCAGCTGCAGTTTTACCAGAACAAAACCAAATGACTCTCTGCAATCACCATTCTGCAGTCCCACTGTACCATTAAGTGGTTTCAGTGCAGGTTAAATAATAATCACATAATCCAATTAAAAGGAGTTCTCCCCTTACTGCTAACTTCCAACACCCTTCCCTCTCCCTCCATTTAAGTACTACACAGAAACATCACCAACAATCTCTGTATATCATTTTACTACTGAGAATTGATTTTAGGGGGCTTTTTAGCCTATACTGGATACTAACTGGAAATCACAAAGAATTACCATCAAAATAGTAATTTCTTAAGTTTGTACGACTGTTTACCTACCCATATCACTCTCACCCTTCAAAATCTACCAAATTTGCCCAAAATTTTCCAAACTCTCAAAATTGCTTCCTGACCTCAGAAAAGCTATCAGTGTGCTGGTTTTGGCTGGGATAGTTATTGTTTTCATAGTAGTTTGTATAGGGCTGTGTTTTGGGTTTGTGTTGGAAGCAGTGTTGAAACTCAGGGATGTTTTCATTACTGCTGAACAGGGCTTACACAGAGCCAAGGCCTTTTCTGTCTCTCACCCCACCCCACCAGAGAGTGGGCTGGGGGTGCACAGGGAGTTGGGAGGGTACACGGCTGGGACACCTGACCCCAGTTGATCAAAGGGATATTCCATATCATATGGCATCATGCTCTGTATATAAAGTAGGGGAAGAAGAAGGAAGGGGTGAATGTTTGTATGAGCAGCTTTTGCTTTACCTATTACACTGCCTTTATCTCTACCCACGAGTTTTCTCACTTTACTCTCCTGATTCTCTCCCCCATGCCAGCAGGGCAGGGAGTGAGCAAGTGACTGCCTGGTTCTTTGTTTGCAGCTGGGTTAAACCACAACATTCAGACATGCAGTGTAACAAAGTATAACTCTCTTGCGGTATCTACAGGGAAGGAGAAGTGGACAAGACAGGCAGGAGGAGGAAGAGCTGTTCAGGAAACTAGAAAAACTTAAACATGAGAAGTAAAAGGGGTTAAAGTCAAGCACGTGGCCCTGTGTGTACCCGTCCAAGATGTGTGAAGGGGAAGGACCTTAGAAGATGATGGAGGTATTCACAGCTTCAGCAGTAATTTTGCTGTATATGATCTCTCATACTTCTTGCCACTTGTGCAAAACTGGGGGTTGATATTCCTTCTTATTTATTAAGCATTCCTATCACTGAATGTACCAACCAGTGCATGTTAGAAGGAAGCTGATCAAATCCTGTCAGATATCTGAGCTTCCTTTTGTTCAAATGAAGCTGTTTTCCAACTGCTCACATTTCAAACCAAGCCTTTTCCACAAGCAAATAAAAGATTACATTACAATTTTGATGAAAACCTGGTATTATAAGTTGTGCCACAACCCATAAAGATTAAGTGCAAAAAAATGCATTTGTCTTTAAATAAAACACTGTCAGAAAGCTGCACATTCACTCAGATAATACCAAAAACTTAAACGTGGCAAGCTGTGGTATTAATTTGTACACCTATATTGGCAGTGCATAGAAAATGAAAGCTAGAGTTAACAGCCTCCTGTACTTATTAAAAAGAAACTGGTGAAAATTTTTAAATGAAGCCAGTTTGGCATAAAATTCACAGGTAGAAATTTATCTTACTAGTGATTGGGCAGCCAGCTAGAGAAAGATCTTACCTACATAAATATACAGAAATCATTTCAAAATAACCATAAGTTATCTCACATGTATATTTAAAAATACAACAAACCAATTAAACATGCAATAATGTGCAAGATAAAAAAATACAAAGTCACAATGGTTTTTGTAGATCAATCTTCTGAACTTCTGCAAGCTATTGAATTTTGAGCAATGAGCTATACTTTTACTCGGAAGTACTAATACTGTATCTTTTCTATGACTTTTTTTCATTTGCTAATACACACTGTTGCTTAAACTGCTGTAATATCTTCCCAGTACTGGTGATTCAGCCAGCCCTCTGTGCTCTCCAGAGGGGCAAGCATTTTTATAAGACATGCAGAACTGTCCAAGCTCCTGAGCAGACGCTTAATTTAATTTCAATTTGTATTTCAATGGAATGATAGGAGGGTCGACTAAAGTATAAGAACAGTTTATAGTAAAATCCTATAAAAGCTGCAGTACGTGGGGAACAGTGAGAATACCAGAGCATAAACATTAATGATACACATGAAGTGCAGCTGCATATATTTTGGTACTACAGTCAACCTAACAAGATTCGGCTCATATTAATGAAAACACCTTCATGTTGATTAGCAACAAGCTTTCTAGGCTCTATTGACTGTACTAACCTCAGTTCCACTAACTGTAATGACAGCTTGGACACCCAGTGAAGATAACTAAATCTAGGTGTCTTGATTTTGAAGCGCATTCACGCCAGGTTCTGTGGCAGAAATTTTGTTTAGATAAAACTCATCTCTTGCCATTGTTTTTATAAAGTTATTTTACTGATCAGCATCAAAATAATTTTGTTTGCATAAATCATTCTTTCCCTCACCAAAAAATATGCTCTGGCTAAGAAAGGTATCTTTGCAAATACAGTAAAAGCAGTAATGTGAAAAGTTACTATACCTGGTTAAAATTCTGCTGCCTCAAGTAAGTAGTGGCTTTATTTATTTCCAGGTCATTGGCTAACTCTACATAGTGGGAAGCTTTTACCGCATCGACACACCTGCAACAGAAGCGATCCATAAAGACAAACAAAATGCACCTGTGCAAACCCCTCTAAGTTATACACTTTTGCATCTAATTTGTGTTCCAAATTCAGTTTTTCTTAGCTAATCTTTCTTCACAGAGGAAAAGAGCACTCTGATTAAAAAATATTTGAGAAAATATTTATACCCATAACTTACCTTCATAATAGTACCTCTGCTATCTCTTTTTTTTTTTTTAAGCCAGCTGTCTAAATATCAATTTATTTTTCACCACTGAGCAATACTTGATATCAAAAACTCACTAAGACAATTTTTCAAACTATTTTCTTTGGATACATTCTATATGGTGGTTTTTCAAACCTCATCTCCTGTTGCATATATTACCAAACCTGTAGACCAGATTAGTCAACAAACTGCAGAGACTGCAGATTGTGTCCCTGAGCTCCATAATAATAATAAAGTCATAATAATAAACCTCTTTCTGGTCATCTCCCAGTTATTTGTGGCTTAGGGTCTTCTGCAAAATGAGTGCAGAAGAGAATGCAGCAGACAGTTCAGATGTTCATTCACAAACTCCATCTTCCAGGGTTCGATGTGGTCTACCTTAAGCTGCCTGATCATATGAAGCAAGACCTCTATTGCATGTACATACTGTTCTCTCAAACAGCTGGTAATTAAGCACAGTCAATGAACAACTTGCAGGATGTTTCCTTCATCCCTTCCTCTATTTTTTCAACTGGTGGAGAGCTGACTTCTTTCCTTCCCACAGTTGGCTACATTGCCAACAGAAGTTTAATTTAACAAACTGCCTCCTGCTGTAATTGGGTTGGCACATGGACAGTCTCTATACAAATGTCTTTTATGCTGGAGGAAATAATATATTAAATAATAGTAATTTCTTCTTTTATTATAGATGTCTTTGCAAAGTCAAAAAAGTTTTCAACTGCTACTGCTAACATCTTTTAACTATAAAATGCAATGAGATCTAACTATCCAACTGTTCTTTTTGGAATATGACAGAATAGTCCCATGACTATGTCACGTTTTAAGTAAGAAGTTATGAAATCCAAAGACTATTTGTCCCCACTTAATTTCTCTAAAGACAATTAATCTGATTAAAAGCACATTTAATACTCAGAGGACTCATTAAAAAGTTTATCATTTGAAAAACCAAGCTCAAACTGCTGGTTAAACTTTTTCACTGGGCTCAAATACCTCAGCCTAAAATAACAGAGAGTAGATCTGTCCTGATACACACAAAACAATCCCACATATCTCACCAGAAGTTGTCTAACTAGCCAGAACACATAAAAGAGTGTGTTACTTCATGACAAGTATTCTGTGGATAGCACTAAGAAAACAGTATCTGACAACCTTTTCCAATTTTCCTGAAAAAAAAAAAAAACAACAAGATACAGAGCAAACAAATACGACTTACTCATGCTAACAAATTCTAAAGTGGCAAGCTAATTTTCACAGGACATACTGTTTAAGTTCTGATAATTCAGAATGGCAGAAGTAGTGAAATTGTAAGATTATAGTGATTATTAAACCATCAAACACCACCTTGTGGACCCTAGCAGACAAAGCACATCTGTGTGAGAGATTATTTCATATTAGTATAAAAATCCTTGTAAATTATAATTATAGGATCTGCACAATTTGAAAATAATCCTAACAGGCCAAAAACCCCAGGCAAAGGACAGTCCTCTTTTCTCAACAGATGTCCTTCACTACCCAAACACTGAACATGTAAGTAATTTTGTGCCTGCAGATACACAACACTCATTTGTGTACATGTTATTTTCCAGTGTTACTAAAAATACATAAAAATATCAAAGTCCTTATAATCGAAAACTAAAAGTAAGTTTAAAATACATCTTGGGAAAGTTATACAAATCATTTTTATATTGTCATTACAGTAAGTGTGTCTACTTGATTTTGTTTTAAAGAGAAGAGTATTCTCCTTTGGAAAATACCACAGAAAGCAAAAGCTAACCTATAAATTAAAAAATAAAGTTCAAATGGTGAACTGTATCAGCAGCCTATCCCTGTATATACTTGTAAAATGTTTAAGAAATGGTAGATTAAGTTTACATTTAAAAATATTAAGTTTTTAAATGAAATGCAAATAAACCTTTCCAATAAAAATTTGGATTTAAGTATTTTATATAATGAGTCTATGGAGTAATGAAAACTTCTTGGGCACCCCAAGTTTTCATCATGCTATCTTCAAACTTACACTAAAGAGTAGTGATCATTACCTTCCATATAGCGTTTGTTTACTGAGATTTTTAAAAGCTTTTCAATTTTCAAGTTGAATTTTCAAATTCAATTGAGCTTTTAGAAGTTCTTTCTGCGTGAATACAGAACAGTGCAAAATATATATTTAACAGCTGAGTTTCAATGATGGACTCTAATGCTTTGTTTTATTCTTCTCCATAGGATTATGGAGGCAAACTGTAAACAGCCTGGATACTACATTGGAGATGTGGGGCTTATGTTTCCCAGGCTGTTTATGTTTGTGAATCTAGTTTCATAACCAGCACAAGAGACTCACATATAGTTTAGAAAAAAAGAAGCCCCATTTGACTCTTACCAGTCATAGCCTACTGCAAAAGATGTCTCAATTACTGGTGCAATGAGTTTAGCAGCCGTCATGATGTATTCCTCTGCCATGGATTTCCTAAGGAAAAAGAAAACCAAACAAAGACACAACATAAAAATATTAAAGAAATTCTTCACTGCAAGGGTAGTGGGGCACTGGTGGCCTCAGATAAGTTGTGGATGCCCCATTCCTGGAAGTGTTCAAGGCCAGCTTGGTGGGACTTGGAGCAACTTGGTCCAGTGGAAGGTGTCCCTGCCCATGGTAGAGGGGTTGGAACTGGATGATCCTTAAGGTCCCTTTCAACCCAAACCATTCTATGTCATCATTTCAAAAACATGTATAGAAAAAAAAAACCAACACAAATCTTGTTCCTGCTTCTTCCTGCACTCAGGACAATCTCAGAAGTCAGTCTAACCAGTCCCCTGCTACCTGTATCTTGACACTGCCCTGTATCTTGCCCTGTATCAGTTTTTTCTATTTTCCTTTCACCGCACACTGTAGTTGTATTCTTAAAAAATCTCTAATGCTGCAAGTTTTAAGCAACGTAACCTAGATCATTTGGGGCAGATATTCTACTTTAGTGCAGTACACTAAACTGAGTGATCCAACTGGTTCTTCTGAGTGTGTTCTTTCCTAAGAATTATGACACTTTCGTAACAAGAGCTGTGGACAGGTGAGAGTCCGATAATCCTTTCAGGAGCTAAAATCCAGGCACCACAGTCAAAAAAGAACAGATTCCATCATTACCTCTCACGTTCCATTTGACTTATACTGTCATTTTTAATGGCTTCGAGCAGTAAATTGGTATGTAGATCATCCTGAAGGGGGACAAAATAACTGCAAATTATGCCAGTATACAAACATTTTAATTATTTTATAGATAATACGACTGCAAACATAAATTGATGCAGAATACATAGTCTATAATGTCACTTACTTTCCACATTTGAAAAAGCTAGCTTCAGTTTAAAGTAGTTTTCTAACTGTAAAATCTGAAATTTGGCATTACAACTACTTCAGTCCTGTTCTTCTGCTCATATATGTTGTCACAGCTCACGTTAGGGTTGTTAATGGATGTAGATCGTGTCATGTATATCAGACTGGGAAGGCTGCAGAGTGAGAATATTCTCATGCTTAAAAATAAGCATTTGCTGAACTGCATTCAGCAGAGAAGGACTTGTGCTACCTTCTCATTACAATAATTCACATGATCATCTTATGATTTCTATCTTTCCAGCTAGCTCTAAAAGAACTAATAATTAAATTCAAAAGAAAATGGTGTGGATTTTATGTACATCATATCTTTTGAGAAGAAAGGCTTTGAATTTTCTTCCATTATTTTACACTTCCAAGCAGTAGTGTCACACTAAATTCATGTTGGTAAAAAAAAAGTTATTTTAGATATCTAAGTACACATTGATTTACATATTCAGTACTTTCCAAGCATTACATATATCTCCCTCTTTCTCCCAATTTACTATGTAAAGACACAGTTTCTTTTTTTCAAACTTACATTTAATGAAATGTATTTGTCATCAAAATCTACTTCCAAAGGAACTGCAATCAGTTTTTTGAAGGCTTTCTTCATTTGCTCACCATTTCCAATAGCAAAATAACATAGGATCAAGTTGAAGCCTGCCTTCAGGTTTGGGGATATGCTCATTATATCTTCAAATGAAGAAATGGCATCAACGTATTGGCCAGTTTTAATAAATGCAACTCCAATATTTTCCATTATTTTCATCCTAAGTAAAGAAATCAGGATTAGGTTATATTTTTAACTCTCAAATCATATTGTATCCAAATCTTGTGTTTCATAAGCAGGCCTCCTAGAAGAAACTCACCTCATCTCTTTGTGGGCACTAGTAATCTGGTCTAGAGCCATACGGTAGAATTTGATAGCTTTGGAATAGTTCCGCTGTTTTAAATATATATTTCCCATATTTACCTTCAGTATACCTATCAAAAGAAGTCAATGAGTTACAAGATTTTTAAATTGTTTCAAAGTGGCACAGTAGAACAACTTCCTAATAAATTTGTCTTCATTACAGGATACCAGTGTCCCTTTAAAGCAGCACTGCACAGAACTGCCTTCACCCAGGAGAAGATGAAGTACTGATGAAACCTAGGAAAGAACTACCATGTAAGATGTATTCTGATTTTGACTATGAACTGAGGGATGAGGTAGAGATTATTTACAGTGCTCTCCAGAAAAACAGCTGCACATCAACATCTCTAAGAAAAGTGCACTGTGGTTGTCTCAAAGATGTGCAAAATACTAAAAGAATCTTTCAGGAGGGAAAAGCCAAATCAAAAGAGAAAAAATTAGTATTAGAGCAGACACCATAGTGTGTGTGCCATGAGAAAATTATAGACTTGTCTTTATGTTTAGCTTAGCCTATGGAAAAAAAAGATTTCATGAGTCAGTGTAACCTAATGTGGTTTGCCTCTCCAAGTCAGAGACTGGCTATCTGTTGCCCCCTCTGACCAGCTGACTCTGAGGGCTGAGATCTCTGTGAATCAACACCATACAGATGCAGCCCTCATTTTGAATGCCTAACTACCAATTTTAATCCACCTTAGAATATAACCTACCTCCACTGGTGAACATCTTATTCTTCACTATGACTTGGTAAGTAGTCAGTGCTTCAGCATACATTTCATTAGCAGCATACTGACTGGCCAGATTGAGAAGAACCTATAGAAAATTGGAATTATAGGTACAACAAAATACATTGTCCTCTCAACAGTAATAAACTTGAATTCATAATAGATAATTTGAAATTAATTTTACTTTGGAAGTCCTGTTTGTACCAGTTTTAAGCTTCCCATCTTTAATGTTCCTTTGTTCTTGCATATGGACATAGAGGAAACAAGTTTAAAAGATACTTATTCTAGGTAATTATTTTATTTTGTACATAAATAACTACCCTTCAAAGTCATACTAAGTGAGCCTTAAATCCAAGTAAACGCAATGTTATAATACAAAGTTATTAATAAATATTCATACAAGCTCATTCTCAGAAACTGTGTGTAATTTATGGCTCCCAACATGTGGAAAACAGTCCCACTGCCCGAGGTCACTCAGTTTAGAAAGACAGAATTTTTCCAAACTGCTGTTTCAAAACACAAGTTCTGCTGGTGTCAGGTAAAACACCTCCGCATTTTTTCCCCAGCTTTACCCTGACCTTCACAGTAAAATAAACTATTAGGTCTGCCTAATTTAATTGTTAATAGTTGTCTCTACAGCACTACCCAGGGTACAGCTTTAAACACACCTCTAGTATTTTTATACACCTTGTACCCTTTTTTTTTAAAAAAAGTCTACTATTAATTTGAAAACCAGAATGTAAATCTAGATATCTGCTTTAAGATTCAAGAATATTACTGTATTCTATTTCATGTAATACATTCTCTGTCACTTTATGGTTTAATTTAAAGACAGCATCTGATCTTTCCTGTTTTCTTCTCTTGGCATGTCACATTTTCTAGACTATTTATTTCTGAAGTACAGGGTTTATATCTGTTACGTTTTGATATGCAAGTTTTGCATGTGAGTAGATAGCTGGAGTAGATATTCATGGGCATCCTTCTCCACTTAACATTGAGTACATGGTTTCTCTGGTACTTGAGATGACACGGTAATAGACTCAATGACATAAATGGATCTCCTCTGGTACCCTGCTAGGAGCATTACAACACACACACTTCAGGAAACACTGAAATATCTGTTCAGGGGGGTTTTTAGCAACATTTCAATCACTGAAGATTTCTAAGCACTTACTGAGTAAGTGAGGTCTAAGTTGATATTTTCTGGAGGAGTAATTTGTTCACGTTGTCTCAGCAATTCTCTTTCCTGTCTTCCAGCCTCTTTTGCTTTTTCCAGAGCCTTAAACAAAATGCTAGAATTTAACAGTGCCTTGAATCTTACTGACCCAAGATGACAAAAGTATACTCAAAAAAGTATGAAGAGAATATACTCATGTCTATTTTCTTTAGATGCATAGACTGTACCAAATGCCTGAAAAAAGGCACTATAACCCACAAAAAGGTGTTACTTAGCACTAAACATACAGTCTATTTAGCTGTATAATTTTAGAGAAGTACAGTCACACACATGCATATGCCATAATCACTACATTATCATGATCCTAGACGATTATTCTACTTGTATTAATCACAGAAAGTGCACAGAAATGGTTAAAGGAAAAAAAAGAGGGAGCAATTAGGTTTGGCATGTTTTCTTATTGCAGAATCTCAGCGCAGGCAAGTGTTGGAAGGAAGTAAGTGAAGGCAAGAAATAAACATGCACGTTACAACCACACAAATGTATTCTGTACATACACCTTCACTAATTCTTGATGCTGGTAAACTGCTTTCCCTTTTTATCTATCCACAGTGGTTATGTCACATGTACATACCCAATTATAATTCTCTGCAGACTGGTGTCAAGACCCTTTGCACAACTAATGCTCTGGGTCTAGGAAGTGCCATTAGCAGTCCTGTATGCCTTCACAAGGGTACAATGATTAAGAAAGTAATGGTTACCACTCCAGGTAGCGATTTGGCAGCCAGCAATGAAGGAAGTACTTCAAGATACAGCTTGATTATTATCCCTTATGACAGAAGGCAAATCCAACTTGACTCTTCTATAGATAATGAGTTGGCAACTTTGATGGCTTTTGCAGAAAAATGGATATTCTGCTGGACTTACCAGAAACTAACACAAACGTTCTAGAGGACCCCTAGAATAGTCTGATATAATCTACATAAGAAACAACCCTTTGACATCAAGAAAAAAAGAATATTCTAGAATATACATGCAAGGAGCTCAGGAAAAATTAACAAAACAAGTTAGCTCATCTCCTGAAAGCTGAATGAATTCTAGATCTCAAAGCAAAAACAAAGACATCTGAAAAAAGATAATCTACCAACAGATCCAGTACATTAAGACAGTTGAAGTAAGATTAAATGATGCTGTACCCACCACATTTCATAAGACCTACGGAGATATTTGAAATTGTCTGAATCGGAGTAGCATAGAAAAATATCCCTTTGTGTCAAACAGAAAGACCACATTCATTAAAAGTGCTAATTTGTCCAAACAGCTTGAGCTCTCCAAAAACATCTACACTAGATGTAAATCAAATGGGTGAGAGCCTGTTACTTAGCCACTATTCACAGGCACAACATTGCTCTAGTACCCTCTATAACAGACGAAACACTTATCTACACAAATTGTTCTTCACACAACAGCAAAAGTGAAATCTAGAAAAATTACCAATTTCAAGTCTCCACAGCTGTTGGCAACACAGCTTTCTTCAACCAGTTCATTCACTTTTTTTTCCAACTGCCTCAACTTCTCTTCTGGACTAAAACAAAAATAACAATAAAAGGATTAACACTAGTAACATAACTGCAAACACTAAGCTTTTACACATAATTCAATTCTTTTACACACTACTCAGTAAAACAGCACAGTGATGTATCACACGTCGCAACTAACTGGTTTTCCCATCAATGAAAATATCACAAGAAACTATGCCCAAAGAAGATCCTCCAAAGATATCACATTCGCACTTTCAATTTGAGAACAGAGACCTAAGAAAACATAAATCCTCTTAAGAGAACAATACAGACAGGTAAATTTCATTAACTCAGCTTGTTCAGGAGAAGTAACAACAGAACAACAGATAAGGTGTTTCAAGTCAAACACCTAGTGAAATGAAATATCACATTAAAAGCAATTAATTGAACCTTTATTTACACAGATAACTCCAAAGTACTGCTTGCACATGCAGATTATAACAAAAAGTTGTTATTCATCTAGATTTTTTTGTCTGCTAAATAATTGAGCATTTCAGTAGGATTCCCTGTTCCTACATAGTTACATTTGGGGAACGTAACTTTTGTATTGGAAAGCTCAACGACATTTTCTGAGGGAACTCCACAACATTTGCACTAGCCTGCAAATTTTACCTCAAGTGCTAAGAGAGAAACGGCAGGCAAATTCCCTCAAATTCCCTCAAATTCTTCCCAGAGAGCTGCAAGAATCATGGTGTTCCTTGCCTGTCACACACACTTCCACGATCCTCCACAGTTCTATAGAACAGCATTTGTGTGACAACACCTACGTCCAGGCTGCTGAGCTATTCAGAACTAGAAATCACTGAAATCAAATGTTCCTGAAAGTCAATGTAAGTGCTCCAGCAAGTCAGCTAACTACATGTATACTGTTTGTGGCATTATTCCACAAAGTTAAGAGTTTGGCCTCTCAAGGTTTTGTAACTGCCTGGATGTTTTTGAACTCTATGCATGGTTGGCTTTCTGTTGCTGTTAATGCTTTGAAATAATTTAATGCAAAGCTGAACAAACCTGTCTGAATTTTTCTTTTCCAGAGGTGGAGCAGGACCTCTTGCTTGGCCAAGAGGATCAAATGAAGAACCTGCAAAATTAACAGCGTACTGAAAATTATAAAATAACATCTCCCTGGGGCAGCTGGCAGTTTCTACAAACCATACCTCTCATAGCTGCCTTAGTATAACCTGCAGCTTGCACTGCTGTCATTGGTCGAGAAACCCCATCCTCAAACAAAGAAGAAGATATATTAAATTAGACTTACTAAAAATTATATTGTGGACAATACAGACATCATTATATGTATTTAGAGATATATAATTTTATATATTTTATTATTTATATATAATTATATACTACAAAACCTTTAAATACAAAAATTAGTTACCACCCCACTCAACTGAAAACATTTTTTTAAATGCTTTTATTACTTAAATATTACAATCTTTTAAAAATACTTGTATCAAACACTTATCCGAAAACTTTATTGTTCCAAATGAATATAAAACGTACATATTGAATCTTTACCTGTATACCTCCTGTCATTGGTCTTCCCATAGATGAAGGTAAAGTTGTCTTTGGCTAAAAAAATAAGTAAATCGTTTGAAACTGGCATTCAGAAAGCATAAGAAGCCTAAGTACAGTCTTCTCAAAGCTGAGGTTTAAAAGTTGAGCTCTCACATAACTTCATAGCAAAGTTCCCATTTATGTTATTCATAAACAATACACTGCCAGTGCCTGGCAGACTTAAAGATGTTGAACACTTCTGTTAGCACAAATTTGCAATAAGGTTTTTTTTTATGTATTTGGATACTTCTGTCAGCTCATTTAAAAAGAGGGAACTTGAGGGAATTTGCCTGCCGTTTCTCTCTTAGCACTTGAGGTAAAACCTGCAGGCTAGTGCAAATGTTGTGGAGTTCCCTCAGAAAATTATCTGAGGCAGCAGTGCTTTCCATTATTAAATTATTGAAATTACTATCTTCAAATTGAACAAGTGATTTACACAAGATACTTCAGTAAAATTCTGAGTAGAGCTGATAAAATCTGTCCCTGAATTAATTCTTAAATTTTACTTTCATGCAGATTTATTTTATCATAAATACAGACACACTTTTTAACTGCCAATGGATATCTCTTCCATTTCCTGAATGACACATACTGTCTTCCTGCAGAAGGTTAAAAATGTAAAGAAACAAATGTGAAACATTTATTAGTAAGTGCTAAAGCTTGCTACAAATATACAATACAAACGGACAAAAATTAAGCGTTTCAGGCCATGAAAAAGTATTCCCCTACTTCCCACTCAAAGGCCTATGTCTTACTATTATACTCACTATCCACATACACCATGATTGTTTTTCATTTTTACTGCTAAGGATTAATGTACCTCAGCAAGGATTATTGTGTAGGAGAAGCAAATCTGTGGAGCAAAAGATACAGTATTGTGGACAATGCCTTGGAAATTCTAGTTCTGTTGTTGCGGATAAACAACTCAGACTTCCAGAAAAATTTTCCCAAGTCAAAATAACAAGCTATTCAGTTTCCCCTGCAAGAGAATCTGGTTAATTCCTTGGATTCTAATGCCTTATGAAGTATGGAAGTAGATTTACAGTATGGTTTGGGAGAAAAAACAAAATAATCTCACTTTGTGCGAGGAATTAAATGTTACATTTAATTTTTGGTAAATACCATTTTCATTAGGGATACAATAGAACAAAAACCTACCCCAAATCCAGTAGCTAAAGGTCTTGAACTTGCTGAGCCAGGAATTTTGGCTGTCACCTGAATGGGAAAAAAAAAAAAGAACCAAAAAAAAAATCCTCACCAATTAACAACCGTATGTGTCAATTATTAGTCTTTCTATATAAGTTCTGTAGTGATTTCACAGATATAATGCTTCAACTGTTACAGAAAGAATTCTCATTGTAGAAGCAGATTATTCTGGCAAAGAAGTAACAATCAGACAGTTCCAGCTCTTCTTTAGGCATTCAGTAGGTACTTCTAAAGTGCAGGTACGAACTTCATATTTGGTTTTGAAAACTGATGTAAGATTAAGTCAAAGCTAGATGAAAATAAGGGAATTGATGTCAGTTACGTTAATATGGAGGAAAAAGTTACCAGAACAATAGCACATGACTTTCTAAATCCCACTGTCTAGTATATATTTCAACCCTGTAACGGTACATCAGAGCCAGTAATTCTATGTTTGGAATATTAAACAAAGTCCTTTGTGAATGTATAATTTTGTTCTTGAACGAGGCTTTACCTCATTTTATCAAACAGGAAGACGCATTTTCAACCAAAGTTCCTTGTTGTTCTAGATTAACTCCAGAATGCAATGAAGTTAATCAGGCTCTGCTAAATTTTACTTATTTTTCATATGCATAACTGAAGCCTGTATCTTCATGTTAGTAGTAGACAAAACCCAAAAGGTAAGAGATTCTCTGGTTTGTATCAGTGCCAAAGTTCGAGCTAAGGCTCTAGAGAAGCTTTACATTATTGCAATGTATTTTCAAAGGTACTTACAGGGGGTCTTCTTCCATGACTTGTTCTTGCTGCCTGTTGAAAAGCTACATCGTTTTCTAAATCCTAGAAAAGATAAAATAAAAACATCAACCCTTTTAAAATGACAACACCCAAAGCCACAATTCCAGAACCTTCAGACTACTAAAAGCAGAAAGGTAAAAACACAGTAATTCTTCCCAAAATACTTGACCTGAAGATAACTGAAGAACAGGTTTTACTGCCATTAAATTACAACGACAGTATTTGTCTATCTTTTTTGGTATTTTAGACTAGGAAATCTAAAAACTCATTATTCTCTGAAAAGTAAAAACATACTGAGGAAGCAGTGCTGAAGTGATAAAATATGAAATTTTATCTCCATCCAAATGTTTACTACTCACACTATTTCTAAATTTTAACATTAAGACCTGCCATCCCAATACATTAAGACATCTCATGTCTCTCAGGTCATGCTGCAACTCCTGTGAATTTGGCATTGGGATTTCACACAGGATGCCACGTCTAGTGGGTTTGGATCAAATGAGCCCACTGTTGTTCCAATTCCACCATACCAGCAGTTACCAGAAAGTGGTCTGCAGGGCTATCTTAAGACACCCCAGATTGCACAGAGACCTACAGTATTCCATTTCACTGTGAGCTCCAGCAGCAGCAGCTCAGCAAGAGATCAGTGACCTATTGGCCAATGAGTAGCCTCTTTTGTCAGTAAACGAGCTCCTGCACATAATCTGGGAAACACCACACTGAATGTGCCTACAAATAACTAAGATTTTATACTTCATAAATTCTAACTGTTATAGTGTATTAGGTTTCCTGAGATGTACACAACTCCTTTGCTGGAATAGAAAACTATCAAAGAATTAACTAGTCAAAAAAATCTTGGAGAAGCTTTTTATGTTTTTTGCTAAATAAAGTACATTTCACTTCAAAGCAGTAGTAAAGTTGTACACAAGTTCTTATCTTGTACTTCTAAATTATAATTCTATCTATGGGAAAGGTGGAAAATAGCAAATATTTTTACCTCTGTATCAAACATGGGATTATAATCATTGTAGCCAGAATAGAGATCATCTTCATCGTTCTCAGGAGCCAGATGGACATTTTGCATCATTTTCCTGTGAAACATTTAACATGCCAAATGTTACCCTGGTGGTTTTATATAAATCTTTAAAAATGTAAAATACAAATGTAAGGTTTACAAGTTCAAAAGAGCTAGGACTCACCTACAGACAGTATTAAATAGCACCATTTCACAGAATTATATTTTGTTTTGTACTTATACCAGTTATGAAAACTGTTTAAAAGATATTCATCATTAAAACTAAACGATTATAACAACTAACTGTATTACTACTTTTCCAATAGTATCTTTCCATTGTCAGCTAATTCAGGTTTAAGATAACTCTTTCATATTCTAAAGTTTGTCTTTATTAGGCCAAACCATAGTAGTTAAGTCTAATGAAAGGTATCGCCCCTAGCTTCAAATCTTCCTTCCTTCATATGTCCTTATATCAGCATAGCCAAAGGTATTATACAGATACGAAGATAGGAAGAATGTTGTAAATAGAATCTATCATACATGAAGAATCTATCATACACGAAGAATGTTGCATATAGACGGAAGAGTCAAAAAGGTTTTTAAATGCCAGCATTAAACAAGCCCAGGTTCCAAAGTCTTTCTTCACAAACACTCCACTGTCTAATACGGCTGCATTCGCCTGGTGGCCTCTCCCTCACGGAGCACAGACACTAAGGAGGTCTCTCTTTGCCCGGCTTCCTATTTTCATAAAAATCTTAAGAAGGCAGCGTTTGATTTCATCAGTAACATGAAGTACGTGCCCTTCAGCAAGCGAGCCCCAGCCAGGATGAACCGCACGGCTCCTCTCCGGCAGCAGCAGCAGGAGGAGGAGGAGGATGTCCCCCGCGGAGCCACCGCGGCCAAACTGCTCCTTGCGCGAGCTCCCTCAGCCCGCGCCCGAGGCGGGGAGCGGCGATGTGCCCGGGGCGGCTCCGCCTTGGCGAGGGCGGCAGAGGGCGAGCGGCCCCGAGCACCGAGAGGCCCGCTGCCCGCTGCCCGCGCCCGACGGCGGCCCGGCGGCGTTGCTCCGGGACACGGCGCGGTCCCCGCATGCACCGCGGCCGGGCGGGCGAGCGAGCGGGGCCGGGCGCAGCCGAAGCCGCGGCCCCCGGGTGGGCGGGGCCTGCCGTGAGGGACAGCGCTGCTCCCCCGCCTCGGCCGGGGCGTGCTTGACCTCGAGGAGGTGGGGAAAGAGCTCGCCCTCACCTCGTTTCTGCAAATTGAACGGGAAGAAAAGGTCCTTCAAGCGTTTAAGTGTGCACCTAATTTCCCGAGTCACAATCCAAAACGTTACAGATATGGCCTAAAACTGCAGACGATTCCCTAGTGCTTATGGCGTTTATATACTTCCCATGGGTATAACTCGGGGCAAAGAGTGAGAAGAGTTTGTTGACTACAGTCGGCTTTGAATAAAACTTCCGTTTCTTGTGGTGGTGGAGTAAACTAGGACAACTCACATACTGGAATAAAAAAAACCCGCACTTTTCTGTCCCCCAAAGGGATTTTAAGTCCAAACATTCAAACAACTGACTTCTGTGAAGTTGTCTTTGCCATCTTACCCCACTGCTTCCAGGAGATGTGTGGGCTGTATCCATTGCTTCCAGCTTCCACCTAAGATGAAGGTCTTTATCTGAATGCTCCATTCATCATGTCAATATTTTAAAGAAGAATTTCTTTATTATAGTTTATTATATTTGAATATATTCAATATTTTAGAGAAGTGCTTCCCTATGAGAGCGGTGAGGTGCTGCCACAGGTTGCCCAGGTAAGTTGTGACTGCCCCATCCCTGGAAGTGTTCAAGGCCAGGTTGGACAGGCTTGGAGCAACCTAGTCCAGTGAAAGATGTCCCTGCCCACGGCAGGAGAGCTTGGAACTAGATCATCTTTAAGGGCCCTTCCAATGCAAACCATTCTGTGACTCTGTGTGTCAGGTTATCCATGTTTCCAATATGGGAGCCTCAGTGCTAAGAAACAAAAGTTGTATCATGTGATAGACGTACAAATAAAATTTTGTTTTTCCCTGTGCTTTTCTTGTCTTATGGAAGAGGAACACAAAACAGCTGTGTGGGCTCATCGGACTGCCTACCTTTGTCCATGGGATAAGGAAAACAAATGGAAACAAGATCTGTTGTCTGCTAGGCATTGCTTTGCTGTGTGCAAATAAAACTCTGTGGTGTGGGTGATATTTACCGACTTTAAAGGGAAAATTATTAGAATAAATTAATTGGTGTTTCTGAAACATTAAGTAGAGGGCAACTAAAGTTCAGAATGGGGGAAAAAAAAATCTATGCTTCTCCATAGCAGGGAATTTAGGATTACAGGATTGTAGAAGGGACCTCAGGACATCTCTCCCATCTTTATACCTAGTTTAAATTTCTTTGTGTCTCTTCCCAGTAGTAAAGCCAACCTACTGTCATTTTATGGTGCAAATTGTTATTTTATGCTATAGATTTCCTCGTGAGCGAAAAGCAAATATACTTTGATAAAGTAAATGGCTTCTTGCATAGCTGTCAAAGCTTGCACTCAAGCACATGCCCCATACCTGAGAGTACCTGAGAGCATGTTTCTCGAGCTCCAAATTATTGCTGGCACATGTCCTCTGGAGCACAGTAGGACTCCACTTGCAGGGATGGCTCTCAGGCAGCAGCCAGCACCTCTGGGCAGAGACCTCATCACAATCACCACTCACTCTCGGGGTGCTCAGCGACACCATTTTTTCCAATAAGCTGAGAAATCTGCTCTCAAAACTGAAAAGCTCAATTAAAAAAAAAAAGTTATTAAAGCTTCCCATAGGCCAGTCTCTGAAACAAAATAAAAAAAATTAAAATCCCTAATGTCTTAAAAAAAGATGATTCCTCCTACCATTTTTACTAGTTTCTGTTGATATTTTGGAAACCCTGACGAGTGTCAGTGGATTTGCTCACAGCAAATCATTAACTCTGGGGAAAGTTTCACATGCCTAAATGGGAAACAGAATAGAGCAGGGATCTCTGAACAAGCCTACAGTATTTTTGAGAGAGAAAATATTTTATGAGACCAATTGTAACCTACCCCTACTGCCTTATACTAATGGCATAAAAAGGCTGCAAAGACAATAAACAGTACAAAGTCAGTCAGAACACCCTTTTTGTGGTCAGGGGTTGTGCACATTATGCAATGTCAGGGCCTTCTGCTGCTCACCTTTCAGCCTCAAAGTCCTTTTTGGAGAGATAAGGTGAAGAGGATATGAGTGAAAGGTCTTTCTACTCTGACTCCCATCAAGAGAAACCAAGATAACATAAGGAAGTATTAAGACATTATCACTTCTTGCATTAACCTGTTCACGTTCCATGCATGAACCACTTTCACACAGAAACTTCAGACTTGAGAACTTTGGACATGAGAATCTTTATACTCTAAATTTCTGGAATACAAGTATTTTGCAGCATAACAGACTTAAGGTGGGAAAATATTTTGGTTGCATTCCTTGCCACAAATTATGAACTCCAGCATAAGAAATATATATACATTTATAGTAACCTTTTTCTGCCTGTGACTCCTCATATATTATTGAGCCTATGGTTTTTAGAATTTTCTCATTGTCCCCAGATGCATCAGTATGTATCTGAGTGGTAGGTGGATTCTGTGGATAGCTCTGCTATCCATCTTGTCCATATTGGAGACCTGGGCATATGGGTGCCCAGCGCTATTCTGATGTTTCAGCCCAAATGCCTAGGGCAGTGGAGAGGAGGCACTGGGGTAAGGAGGCAGTGCATCTACTTTGTAAAAGAGGTGGTGCCAAGGCACCACTGGAATCTGACCATGTTCATGTTGTCAAATTTTCTTACCCTCCAAAATTGTGTGTATACACTCAAACCAGTTATTGGAAGTGGTCCCTGGCCTCTATGGACTCTGACCATACTGGAAATTATATTGGCGAATGGTAATTGGCCAACACTTTAATGGGCTATTTCAACCTCAGAGACATTTAGCTCCAGCACTCAGTCCAGCCCCTCCCAATGCTGCATGTTGCCTGTGCTGCTGGAGCGTACACCAGTGGTCAGGACCTTGGGAACACTCCCTGGCCCAGGTCCTTAGGCCTTGCAGTACAGCTGTTACTTTTGACATCCTCACAACAACATGAGAGTCTCAACAGACTTTTTTCATGTTTCTAAAAGCTGTGTCAATCTATGATTTTTTTTTTCTGGTGCTGTAAAGTATAAAAACGCATGAAGATTTAAAGCAAAACCCTCAGGATCCTTTGGACAACACAGGACCATACTAGTGGGCTGTGATTATAAGATATGATCTAACAAGATGATGCTACAGGAAGAAACCCTGTAATGATGTAAGATGATGTAATTGTCTTTACTGGTTTTGGCTAAATCCAGAGGGCAAGCTGGAACACAAATATGACAGAAAGAAGTGTAGCAAGTTTAGTATACAGTCCAAGTAACATCATATGCTGTGAATTCCTAATCATTAAGCCAGCAGAGTCACTAAATGAAGTTCTCCTGTTCTTTTGCCACCTTCTGATTTTCATCCCTGCCCCAGATCAGTCCTCTGACTGGCATCAAGTTACATACTTGTGCAGCTGAAGCAAACTGCAGATCTCATGAGGTTTTTCTTCAGATACCTTTCAAGACATGAAGTAAAAGATCCAGGGACAGCAGTGAAAAATTAGGGCAGATTAAGGAGACCATGAAGCTATACTCTTAAGTATGAACTTCTTTTCCTTTCAACACATGGTGTATCTGTCTTTTTGCAGTGGTAACATTGCAAATTGATGCCAAAAAACCTCGGTATGATTAACTGCTCAGAGACTTTTTCATCTTTAAGCAGCAAGGTATTTGTTTATTCAACACTGGGAGCAAGCCAGCTCACGCTGGACAAACTTGCTCAACCTGAAAGTGCAAAAGCAAGCAATTTTATACGCTTCAGATACATGGTTACATCATTTATCATACATATTAATAAGTAGGCTAGTCTCTAGGCGGAGTCTTTCCAGGCACGGGCAGTCTTCTCCTCAAGCCTTCATCTCTCTGGTGGTCGCC